ATCTGATGTAGATTTTCCTGATGAGTGACCAGCTTAAACTTTTTGGAGCAGGTCCATTCCCAAGTAACTATAAGCCCTACCTGGACCAAACTTGCACGGATGATGCATCTAGGGATGGACACTACCACACTTGCTATGGATGCTGGATCTGACCTAGTTTTTCCAGATGAGTGACCAGGTTAAAGTTTTTGGAGCAGGTCTATTCCCAAGTAACTATAAGCCCTACCTGAACCAAACTTGCATGGATGGTGTATCTAGGGATGGACACTACAATATTTGCTTTGGATGCTGGATCTGACCTAGATTTTCCAGATGAGTGACCAGGTTAATGTTTTTGGAGCACATCCATTCCTAAGTAACTATAAGCCCTACCTGGACCAAACTTGCATGGATGATGCATTTAGAGATGGATACTACCACACGTGCTTCGGATACTGGATCTGACCTAGATTTTCCAGATGAGTGACCAGGTTAAAGTTTTTGGAGCAGGTCCATTCCCAAGTAACTATAAGCCCTACCTGGATCAAACTTGCATGGATGATGCATCTAGGGATGGACACTACCACACTTGCTTTGGATGCTGGATCTGACCTAGATTTTCCAGATGAGTGACCAGGTTAATGTTTTTGGAGCAGGTCCATTCCCAAGTAACTATAAGTCCTACCTGGACCAAACTTGCATGGATGATGCATCTAAGGATGGACACTACAATGTACCACACTTGTTTTGGATGCTGGATCTGACCTAGTTTTTCCAGATGAGTGACCAGGATAAAGTTTTTGGAGCAGGTCCATTCCCAAGTAACTATAAGCCCTACTTGAACCAAACTTGCATGGATGATGCATTTAGAGATGGACACTACCACACTTGCTTTGGATGCTGGATCTGACCTAGATTTTCCAGATGAGTGACCAGGTTAATGTTTTTGGAGCAGATCCATTCCTAAATAACTATAAGCCCTACCTGGACCAAACTTGCATGGGTGATGCATTTAGAGATGGACACTACCACACTTGCTTTGGATGCTGGATCTGACCTAGATTTTTCAGATGAGTGACCAGGTTAAAGTTTTTGGAGCAGGTCTATTCCCAAGTAACTATAAGCCCTACCTGAACCAAACTTGCATGGATGATGCATTTAGAGATGGACACTACCACACTTGCTGCGGATGCTGGCTACCTAGATTTTCCAGATGAGTGACAAGGTTAAAGTTTTTAGAGCAGGTCTATTCCCAAGTAACTATAAGCCCTACCTGGACCAAACTTACATGGATGGTGCATCTAGGGATGGACACTACCACACTTGCTTTGGATGCTGGATCTGACCTAGATTTTCCAGATGAGTGACCAGGTTATAGTTTTTAGAGCAGGTCCATTCCCAAGTAACTATAAGTCCTACCTGGACCAAACTTGCATGGATGATGCATCTAAGGATGGACACTACAATGTACCACACTTGTTTTGGATGCTGGATCTGACCTAGTTTTTCCAGATGAGTGACCAGGATAAAGTTTTTGGAGCAGGTCCATTCCCAAGTAACTATAAGCCCTACTTGAACCAAACTTGCATGGATGATGCATTTAGAGATGGACACTACCACACTTGCTTGTGATGCTGGATCTGACCTAGATTTTCCAGATGAGTGACCAGGTTAATGTTTTTGGAGCACATCCATTCCTAAATAACTATAAGCCCTACCTGGACCAAACTTGCATGGATGATGCATTTAGAGATGGACACTACCACACTTGCTTTGGAGGCTGGATCTGACCTAGATTTTTCAGATGAGTGACCAGGTTAAAGTTTTTGGAGCAGGTCTATTCCCAAGTAACTATAAGCCCTACCTGAACCAAACTTGCATGGATGATGCATTTAGAGATGGACACTACCACACTTGCTTTGGATGCTGGCTACCTAGATTTTCCAGATGAGTGACAAGGTTAAAGTTTTTGGAGCAGGTCCATTCCCAAGTAACTATAAGCCCTACTTGAACCAAACTTGCATGGATGATGCATTTAGAGATGGACACTACCACACTTGCTTCGGATGCTGGATCTGACCTAGATTTTCCAGATGAGTGACCAGGTTAATGTTTTTGGAGCAGATCCATTCCTAAATAACTATAAGCCCTACCTGGACCAAACTTGCATGGATGATGCATTTAGAGATGGACACTACCACACTTGCTTTGGATGCTGGCTACCTAGATTTTCCAGATGAGTGACAAGGTTAAAGTTTTTGGAGCAGGTCTATTCCCAAGTAACTATAAGCCCTACCTGGACCAAACTTACATGGATGGTGCATTTAGGGATGGACACTACCACACTTGCTTCGGATGCTGAATTTGACCTAGATTTTCCAGATGAGTGAATTTTAGTCATATTTTAATCAAATTAGCATGGATGATGTATCTTAGGATGGACACTTTCAGACTTGTGTTGGATTCTGAATCTGACCTACATTTTCCAGATGAGTGACCAGGGTAATGTTTTTGGAGTAGCTATATAATATTATGGCATGGTATGATTAAACTTGCATGGATGGTGCATCTAAGAATGAAAACTTCCAGACTTGCTTTGGATGTTGGAACTGACCAAAATTTTCTTGATTAGTAAACAGGTTAAAAGTTTATTTTGAGCAGGTCTCTGTGCGGATTACTCCAAGTAACTACAAGTCCTTCTTAAACCAAACTTGTATGGATATTGATCTTGGGATGAACACTAACTAGGAAAAATATGATGTGAGATTTGCCTTACTTATAGATAACCTTCGTCGAGGTGAGCTTTGTAATCTTTGATTACCTATGTTTTATAATTGAACAATATTTGATGGGCGTATCATATAACATGGCGGTGCACTTTATTTTCCTTTTTCACTGTAAATAAGAATGACGTGGGAGGCTTTATTTTTTAACAAATTACTTTAATACTCAGTAAAATATGGCAAACATATACCCGAATAAAGTTCTGATTTGATATACCCATCTGAAAACCTTCCGCTGAAATTTCAGGGAAGAACAACTTCAGAACACGTCTGTATACTTGTACAGACAACCAGCTCAGAAACGTTTCCCGCCATCTTGACCACTTGTAACTTAGATACTATAAATGCTTGACATTGTATCGATCTTGCCTTAGGCCACGCCAATTTGTAAAATAGTTCTTCAGATTTTCAAAAATAAAAAGTGAGGCGAGCGAGCGAAATAATTTTACAAATATTATTTTTCATTTCGGGTATCAAAATTATGAGGCGAGCGAATATAATTAATATAGGTGGCAAAATTTTCTAAGTTCTCCTCTTTTTCCTATTATTTTTTCTGGGAGAGAAAACGTTTTCTATGTACTCATAAGATGTGAAAACGCGTCTTTCTTTTGTTTCTCGTAACATTGCAATTTAGACGTAGTTTCATTTCTACAAATTTTCTGTTTAATTCTTTGCAAATTGTTAAGGTCATGTCAGGTTTCAAAATCACAATTGCATCGCTTCTTGAATTTTCTTTAATTTTTATTGAACAAATACGGTCAATATTTACTTAACCTTGTGTGTATTTTTCATATGTTGATGATATTCTCTTTATTGTTTCATCAAACAAAGATTCAAGCGTCTCCTAAGCTTCCATTTCTATTGCTGTGCATGGAACTACTTTGTACCCATTGTTTTTAACTATAGTACACAGGGGTGTGCAATAAAAAAAATCAAGTAAGTCAATCAAAGTTACTAGCCCCAAGTAAAAAGTTACTAGCCCAAATAGAGGGGCAAAAATTAAAATAAATACTTATTAATGTTGACAAGAAATTAATTGCTGAAAAAGTCAGGGTACTGAGGTCATTCTTTTTAAAATTAAAGTTAAAAGTTCTCACTATCAATATAAATCATGTATAAATTATTATGAAAGAAAATTAAAATGAATTTAAATAAATTATCTTTCCTTTTTCTGATCATTGCACTAGCTCATTTAGAATGAAATTAAATTCATTTTGTTTTCATCTTAAATCATTGAATACACTAGAAATATATTTTATGTAAGTCACAAAACACTTATTTTTCAGTTGATTGAGTGATCGTAAATAATTTAATGAGATATCTGCATGTATTTACCATAAATGGAGGAATAGAGGAAATTCGGATTAGGAAAAAAACGATCGTTTTTGGAAGTAAATAGTCAGATAGAACTGTAAAACAGATAAGATTATGGAGATTTATTGACAGTCGGAGCATGTTGTCTGGAAAATTTTAACTGGTTGGGAATTTTATATAAAAAAAAAAAATGAGTGAAAATACCGATTGTGCTTGTCATGTATTGCGTGTGTAGTTAATTTTTTTACTAGCCCGACGGGCTTCCTCCTTGCAGAAAACCACTAGCCCGACCCGCAAAAATGGTAGCCCCGGGCGTCGGGAGATGCTAAATGCTCACCCCTGGTACATACGAACAGTTACACAGGCATCGTGCAAAACTTCACAAACTGTTACAAACATTCTAAATCCCGCGCTTCTGTCAAACAACTTTCCAAGTCTTTTGTGCGTTTTGAGTAAAAAGTCGAGAGAAAAAAATTGTATACGGATATTTTTGGACGCGCGCGCAAATTTTTTTTATAATATTATAATTTGGATTTGTTGTAAATAGAAGCGGCGAATCCGACGAACTATATTAGAAATTGGTATGGCCTTACAAACATTTCTAAGACTAAGCATTACAAATTCTAAAATGAGAACCCCAACTAAATTTTTTTCTGGAATAACGTAATGCCGCATTTGAAAATTTCTTTTTATTAAAAAGGCAATAAAATTAGACACGCAGCACTATTTGAATAGACGAGGGCAGGCCTGAGAACCAGATAATTAATTTTTTATGGTCTTAGAAATTCCAGAAGAAATATAGACAAGGAGAAAACTAATATCTATCTTCAATTCCATTTCAACACAAGGAAAAGTCATTGAATCCTGCATTTCATACTGTATTTACGTAACCATGACAATGTAAAATAATTTTTAATTTTATAGGGACCTTTATAGCATTTGGTTTACTGGGATTTCGGAATATATTCAGTATTATTCTGACCTAATAAAAGAATTTAATTCTGCAAGAAGAAATGGAGTGGAAGGGGAATTCCGTCAGCTTCTAACATTCTTCAGCAAGATATTCCTGATGAGCCCTATGTGAGTTTATTTTATGCTTGCCCTTCCACTTTCAGCAAGTTCATATGATACATATTAATCTTGATTTCTTCATATGATACATATTAGTCTTGATTTCTTCAAAAAAATTTATTAATCAGATCACCACATTGTTTGAATAAGATTCACTGACTTAACAATCATAATTATGTATTTCCAAAGTAATGTCAGCAGAAGCAATAGTCAGTTTTTATTACTTTTTAGCTCACCTGAGCTGAAAGTTCAAGTGAGCTTTTCTGATCACATTTTGTCCAGACGTCTTTCTTTTGTTAACGATGTGATGTATCACTGTGTGTGTCAGATTGTTTTGAATATTTTCATACCAAAAAAACAGTGCAAATATTTTCATACCAAAAAAACATTACAAAGCAGCTTTGAATCAGTCAGAGTCCTCTGAAAGTGGTGATGAGTGAAGTTACGTGTATGTTTACCTAAGACCTATATTTTTACCTGAATTTTTACCTGTAGTTTGCCCTGAACGTAGCATCAATAAATTTCAATTATTATTGACAATCTTTATCCATTATCACCAAAGTACAAAATAGAATTACACAATTGGATAGAAAAACAAAATGAACAAATCTTTCTCAACCATTGCAATAATTTACCTGTAATTACCTGTAATCTGAGTACAGGTTTGCACAATAGTTCTTTATTTAAATAGATGAAATCCTGCACAAGTGCAGATAATTGAGTTTTTGCCATTGGTGACAGAGCAATTCCAATATATCGTAGTAATTTGTACTGCATGACAGTTTATGAAAGTCTTACAGGGTATACGTGTAGCAAGAAGAAATAAATCAAATTGTCCTTCGTTCAAAATCCTGCAGTGACTGTAGGAGCAGAAGTAGATATATTCTCCATTTTGTTTTTTTTTTTTGGGGGGGGGGGTGTTTTGCTTTGTTTGTTTGTTTCGTATAAATTTGTTTTTCACACCTTCCGTTTTATTTCACTTTTGTGTTATACATACCTAGTACTATTGGTTAAAAAACCCCAAAATTTTATTGATTAGAGCACTGATTTGAACAGCTTTAGTAAATGTGAAAACTTAGAATGCATGCATGTGCTCCGCATTTACTTGAACAATAATATATTCGTTATTCAACATTTTTTTTTTCTATACATGTAAGCAACTTCATTTTCAATACATTTTGTATTGTACTTCAGGTTCAGTGCTGTGATGCTCTGGAAATTTCCATCAAACATTTCACAAATAAATCAATTACCTCAACTAATTCTTTCTACATCTTAATAAATATATTCACTATTTATGGTTTTTAGCTCACCTCAACGAAGTTTGGGGAGCTTATGTAATACCCTCAGCGTCGGCGTCCCAGGTTGAGGTTTTTGGAGCAATTTTCTTTTCAAGTACTTCTATGGCCTATATTAGTCAGAGATGCATGGAGGATGCTTCTAGTGTGTTTTATTGTACCAGTCAAGGTTTCAGATGCTGCAATTTCAGCTAAAGAATGACCAGGTTAATGTTTTTGGAGCAGGTTAAAGTTTTTGGAGCAGGTTAAAGTTTTTGGAGCAGGTCTCATTTCCAAGTAACTATAAGCCCTATATTGACCAAACTTGCATGGATGATACATCTAAGGATGCACACTACTGAACTTGCTTCAGATGCTAGATCTGACCTACATTTTCCGGATGAGTGACCAGGTTAAAGTTTTTGGAGTAGATCTCATTTCCAAGTAACTGTAAGCCCTATATTGACTAAACTTGCATGGATGATACATCTAAGGATGCACACTACTGGACTTGCTTCGGATGCTGGATTTGACTTACATTTTCTGGATGAGTGACCAGGTTAAAGTTTTTGGAGCAGATGTCATTTCCAAGTAACTATAAACCCTATATTGACCAAACTTGCATGGATGATACATCTAAGGATTCACACTACTGAACTTGCTTCGGATGCTGGATCTGACCTACATTTTCCGGATGAGTAACCAGGTTAAAGTTTTTGGAGCAGATGTCATTTCCAAGTAACTATAAACCCTATCTGAACCAAACGAGCAATCTCAAAACTTGCCTCGGATGCTGGATTTGACTTACATTTTCTGGATGAGATACTAATTTTAAATTTTCACATAAGTCTATTTTCACATAAGTCTATTCCCAAGTATCTGCAAGCCCTATCAGACCAAAATTGCATAAATGTTGCATCTAGGGATGCACACTCCTAGATTATTAGTTTAGTGTGGGACTTTGCCTTACTTAAAGACAACATTTGTTGAGGTGAGCTCTGTAATCTCTGATTACCTATGTTTATGAAATGTTGTACCATTATTTTCATGCCCATTAATATCAAGTTTTTTTCAAAAATTCATATTAGTGATTTACCGCCTTTTTTTTTATATCGGGTTCGATGCCATGATGCTCTGGAAATTTCTGTCAAAACTAAGATCAATGACTGATGAAAAGAATATGCACATTTTGTTTATTAATCAGTTATCATAACTAATGTTTCTTCTATACCACTTAAATCAAGTTTTGATTAAATTATTCACTTACGATGGTTTATCAAATATTAAACCATTGTACATTGTCAGTTTCATTAAAAATTGCCAGTAACTTAGATCTGGCAAACCTTGTCCACCACTGTACTGTCTTTTTTGCTATTTCATGGTTGTTTACAGAAAACGAAAGTAGAATTTTGATTAAAATTAAGATATTACTCTCAAACTGCAAGAAAAATTCGAAAATTAAGTTTACAGGCATCACCTTTTACCTAGTGTAATATCAGAGAAAAAACCATGAACAGGTGCAGGTGTTTTGGAGTTTATTCGCAAAATTTATTCATTTATAAGTATAGATGTCAAAATTATAGAATGGCATAATTACCTAACATAATTCATAAAAAAATATATATTTTATTTCACAAATTTATTGAAGTTTACTGCTGTACATATTTTACATGTAAATAACATTGAAATAATGGTGCAAATAATTGAAATATCAAAGTAATTTTTACACTAATGTAAATTTCATCATCTGGCGATCAATTTTCATAAGCAACTTTTTTCTGTGTCTCCTAAATTGAAAAAGTTATAGTTATTTAAAGAAAAAAACTTATTTAAGTTTGTAAACATTTGAAAAATGCAGCAGCAGCGCCAGTTTACTTATATAGCATGTTAAGGGTTAAATTGATGTTGATATTTCTAGCTCACATGAGCCGAAGGCTCAAGCGAGCTTTTCTGATCACATTTTGTCTGGCGTCCATCTGCACATCTGTTCGTCTGTAAACTTTTCACATTTTTGACTTCTTCTCAAGAACCACTAGGCCAATTTCAACCAAACTTGCTACAAAGTATCCTTGGGTAAAGGGAATTCAAGTTTGTTCAAATGAAGGGCCACACCCTCTTCGAAGGCAAGATAATTAAGATTTAGTGAAAATTTAATGGCATCTTTTAAAAATCTTCTTCTCAAGAACCTCTGGGCCAGAAAATATGAAACTTATGTGGAAGCATCCTCAGGTAGTGTAAATTCAAGTTCAGGGCGTAGGGTGGGGCCACAATTTGCAATCAAAGTTTTACATAGTAATACATGTATATAGGGAAAAATCTTCAAAAATCTTCTCAAGAACCACCAGGCCAGAAGAGTTAAAACTTATATGAAAGCTTCATTATATAGTGTAGATTCAAGTTGTTCAATTCATGACCCCCAGGGGTAGGGTAGGGCCACAATAGGCGATCAAAGTTTTACATAGGATTATATAGGAAAAAATCTTTAAAAATTTAAAAATCTTCTTCTCAAGAACAGCAATATTGATATGCAAGCATTTTCAGGTCGTGTAGAATCAAATTTGTTCAAATCATGGTCCCTGGGGGTAGGGTGGGGCAACAAAAAGGCAGTCAAAGTTTTACATAGGAGTATATAGGAAAAATCTTCTTCTGAAGAACTTTAAATTACTTTAAGGGTATATATATTAAATTAACTCCAAGACATCAAAAATGGTTGCAGGATTTTATTTTGTACACCTTTCATCCGTGTCAAACCTGGAAGCCATTATGGCTCTTCAAGCCTTTGATTTTAATTCAAATTATGACTCCCGGTGGTAGGGTATGGCCACAATAGGGGATCAATTTTTTTTTATATAGGAATAAATAGGGGAAAAATTTGCTGTTGAAGAACAGGAAGGCCATAGTGACTCAGGTGAGTGATGTGGCCCATGGGTCTCTTGTTTTTTTGAAGTGGGTATGGAATCCCCCCCCCCCCCCCCCCCCCCCCCCCCCGAAGTTTCACTCCCAATAATTATACTAAGCTCTTTTGATGAACAAGCTAGCGTGGATAATGCATCTAAAGATGCACACCATCAGACTTGTTTTCATAACAAATGAAGGGAAGAGTTTGCTTTTTCAAACATTTCATGACCAATCACATTTGATAATTTTATCATGAGAGTAAGAAAAAGTTTAAAATATGCATCACCATATCTTGAAGCACATTTATTTTATGATATGTCAGCTGAATATTATTTCTTTTTTGTCAGTTGAAAATGCTAAAAGAAAATGGTATTTTTGTAATGAAGTAAGTGAGTTAAGTCAATTTTTGCAGGACAGGAGATGCTTTTCAAAAAGTGCAAATGACGCTTTGTGGAATAGAAACTACTAGTGTTCCAGATCTAAGATACATCTTGCAGGGAGATTTTTTTAATGAATCAGAAAAATCAGCATCTCTTGTGACAGTAACTATTGGAGAGGTTGGTATGAAAGTTCTAAGTGGTATCTGTTAATGATTAAAATTTTGAATATTGTATACTGTAAGCGTATTACTTTTAGCTGTGTATTCTATTTAGCGCCTTCTACAGAGGAACACTTATACAAAATCAAGTTCATAGCTTAGCAACTTTAATGTATAAATCTATATAGTACATTCAGAAATGTTCAATTTGTATCAAAAATTCAAAAATTTCAAGAACTTTTCAAGTCTGTTTTTTATGCCCCGAGATAGAACATCAGGGGGCATATTGTTTTTGTCCTGTCTGACCATCTGTCATTCTGTTATAAAATTTAACTTTTCCAATAACTTTTGAACCACAAAATTTAGAGACTTTATATTTGACAGCATTTTAGATATGTAAGTTATTGCCCCTTGCACTATAAACCTTGTTATCGCTACTCCGACGAAACGGTGAGTTGCAGCGACACATAACTTATGCTAATGTCTTCTATTCGCTAAGGTGAATTTCCAGTCCATTTACTGCGAAAGGATTTATCGATCCCTTACGACAGTTATTGCCCCTAAGGTTTTTCAGCTCGCTTCGTTAAAGCTCAAGCTCCTAAAGGAAGAGTTGTAAAAGCATAGCACCACCTGCAAATGGGTCTCTTGACCTTTGACCTTGTTGTCATACTTTTCTTCTTACATTGCATGTATGAAATTTAATTTATTATAGCTACTCTTAGTTTAACCCAAACAGATGCTTAATCCAATCTTAGCTATTTTTTTCCAGATACGAATCGCTAGGATCCACCTCTGGCCTTGTATGTTTTCTTTGTATTTATACAAACAGTGTCGCCTCTGTATTTCTTCTTGTGTGTGTCATAGGCACTAAGCTAATTATCTTAATTCATTCAAGACATGAAACAACTCAAATAAGCAATTTATTAGAAAATCTACATTTTTATTATGCACAAATCACGCATCTGGAAACCATTTTCTTCTCCGCACAATCTTGCATTAACAAAAAACAACCTTGAAATTTAGGTCAAGGTCATTCAATGTATGAGAAAATTAGCTCTTTTTCTATCTCTTTTGTCTTTCAACATATTTTAAATATCATTGCACTATTAAAATGTCCTTTTTAAAACCAATTTGGAATTTCTTTTCTTCAACCCTAAGTCTGATCCCTTTAAAAGTTATTGCCCCTCAGTTTTTACAAAGGTCAAGGTCATTAATAAATATGAGAAATTCAGTTTGTTAGCTCACCTGAGCTGAAGGCTCAAGTGAGCTTTTCTGATCACATTTTGTCTGGCGTCCATCTGTCTGTCTGTAAACTTTTCACATTTTCGACTTCTTCTCCAGAACCACTGGGCCAATTTCAACCAAACTTGCCACAAAGTATCCTTTGGTGAAAGGGATTCAAGTTTGTTCAAATGAAGTATCACACCCTCTTCCAAGGGGAGATAATTAAGAATTAGTGAAAATTTTATGGCATCTTTTAAAAATCTTCTTCTCAAGAACCACTGGGCCAGAAAATGTGAAACTTATGTGGAGGCATCCTCAGGAAGTGTAGATTCAAATTTGTTCAAATCATGACCCCTGGGGTAGGGCGGGGCCACAATGGGCAATCAAAGTTTAACATAAGAATATATAGGGAAAAAAATCTTTAAAAATCTTCTCAAGAACGACTGGACCAGAAGAGTTGAAACTTATGTGAAAGCTTCATTACCTAATGTAGATGAAAATTTGTTCAAATCATGACCCCCGGGGGTAGGGCGGGGCCACAATGGGCGATCAAAGTTTAACATAAGAATATATAGGAAAAAAATCTTTAAAAATCTTCTTCTCAAGAACTACTGAACCAGAAGAGTTGAAACTTATGTGAATGCTTCATTACCTAATATAGATTCAAGTTTGTTCAAATCATGACCCCCGGGGGTAGGGTGAGGCCACAATGGGCAGTCAAAGTTTTACATAGAAATATATAGGAAAAAATCTTTAAAAATCTTCTTCTCAAGAATAACTGGACCAGAAGAGTTGAATCTTATGTGAAAGCTTCATTACCTAATGTAGATTCACATTTGTTCAAATCATGACCCCCGGGGGTAGGATGGGGCCACCATGGGCGATCAAAGTTTTCCATAGGAATATATAGGAAAAAAATCTTCTTCTAGAGAACCACTGGACCAGAAGTGTTGAAACTTATGTGAAATCTTCATTACGTAATGTAGATTCAAGTTTGTTCAAATCATGACCCCTGGGGGTAAGTTTGGGCCACAATGGGTGATCAAAGTGTAACATAGGAATATATAGGGAAAAAAATCTTTAAAAATCTTCTTTTCAAGAACCACTGGACCAGTAGTGTTGAAACTTATGTGAATGCTTTATTACCTAATGTAGATTCAAGTTTGTTCAAATCATGACCCCCAAGGGTAGGGTGATGCCTAAATGGGTGATCAAAGTTTTACATAGGATTATATAGGAAAAAATCTTTAAAAATCTTCTTCTCAAGAACCACTGGACCAGAAGAGTTGAAACTTATGTGAATGCTTCATCACCTAATGTAGATTCAAGTTTGTTCAAAAATGACCCCCGGGGGTAGGGTGGGGCCACAATGGGCGATCAAAGTTTTACATAGGAATATATAGGAAAAAATCTTTAAAAAAATCTTCTTCAAGAATCAATTTGCAGTTTATCACTGCTCACATATCAGAGATTATTTTTAAAAGTATGCATAATTGAATTGCACCAAGTACATAAAGAGGCATGGGCTGATTATATGAAGAAATCTGAAATTCATGATGACTTCATTGATGACATGATAATTGTACAGAATTGTTATATGAAAATATCAAGTGACCCCTGTAATTCACGACCATAGAGTAATTCAAGGTTTCTGAGAAGTAAATGTATTTTCTTCCTTAAAATAATTTAGCTTTCTATTCAGTTGAAAGTTATGTGATACTCAGGTGACCTATAAAACCCATGGGCCTCTTAATTTTCCTTTATTTTTAGTACAAATAAGTAGAGCTACTGTGTCATCAATATTTGAAAAGTAAGCACATTAAAAATATAATTTCAGGTGAAGACATGGCCGCTTGCAGATGATGAAAAAACTACCACTGATTTCAATATCAGAAACTTGAAGTTTTCAGGGCAATCTGTAGAGAGGTTATTAGGACAGCATGGGGGAGAGCTTTTAGTGGAATCTAGGAAGTCTGTTTTAAGGTCTACAAATTTAGGAATAATTTGTATTAAGACCATGGTTAGTACTTTAGCACTTTTTGTGAAGGGAAGGAAAATAGAGAGATGTTTTTCCTGTGAATTTGTTATCCTCCCACTTAGTAGATCACTTTTGTTATTTTCACACTGTGAAAATAACTGTGAAAATATCACTTTTATTTATATAAATTACCGTATTTCACTGTTGAAAATGTAAAGAATTACAGTATTTCACCATTGTAATTGAAATTGTATCTAATAAGTAATTTTTAACCAGCAAATAAACAAGTGCTTATACTGTCAGTGTATGAAACATACTGAATTCAGTCCATGTAAAATATTTTTTTGCATTACTGCTATAAAATAAATATAATATGGTTATATCAATATTGCAGATCATTTTCACACGTTTGGAATGGGCCAAAGGGCATTATAAATGCTTGTTAAAGGGTACAAAGGCGGAAGAGAAGAGAAGTAGCATTCATTACTCAAAGCCTTACAACTTTTTGGTTAGAAAAGATTGAGAAGAAATTTTGGATACAATGTTTAATCTTGGTTTGCTCTGCAGAGTTAGACGTTTGCTTGCATATCAGGAATAGCAACATACACATTTTGCCTTTTGAGTTTCTAAGGTTTATCATCCCTCTGTTCCCACATATAAAAGTTTGCTTTAACACTAACAATTTTCCGAAAGAAATCTAATTTATGATTAAAATGCACACAATTTCAGCATACCTTTCGGGGCAAAATTTGACAGAAATGGCCTTTTTCTTTAACAGTTTTATAAAAGAAGAATAGTCATTAATCCCAGTGAGAGTTATTTCTCCTATCAGAGGGTCGATGAACCTTAAGTCCTTTAACACAGCTCAGAAATTGTGAATGAATGCATTAACATGTTAATGTAAGACATGCTTTTTAGATCACCTGAGCAGAAAGCTCAAGAGAGCTTTTCTGATCACATTTTGTTTGACATCGATCTGTTTGTCTGTCCCTCTCTAAACTTTTCTCATTTTGATTAAAACAAGATTCCTCATATCAGATTTTAATTCGATGAAGTAAATTATTGTTGGTACTAAATTGAATAGGAAGAGCAGTAATGCATAAGATTATTTGAGAATTCTTATATTACAGTTTAACTCACCTAACCCTAACCCTGGAAGTTAGCTTTTCTGATCCGAGAGTGTCCTGCATCCGTCTGTCTGTCATGTGTCATCTTAAACTTTTCTCATTTTCAACTTCAACATGGGAAGTAGGGGTAGGGTGGGGCCACAATAGGGCAATGGGGGATCAAATTTTTACATAGGAATATACAGGAAAAATTCTCTCAAGAACACCAGATTAGACATATTAATGTGCAAGCATGCTCAGGTAATGCAGGTTCAAGTTTTTATGAATCATAGGTCGGGGGGGGGGGGGGGGGGGGCTCTGTTTACATGGAATTTAAGGGGAGAGAATATAAAAATATAAAAATCTTCTTCTTAAATAGGGGGGGGGGGGGCTCTGTTTACATGGAATTTAAGGGGAGAGAATATAAAAATATAAAAATCTTCTTCTTAAATAGTCATACTAATATACCATCATCCTCATGTAGTGCAGATTTATAGTTGTTCAAATCATGTTTTGGGCTAGGTTAGGCTAAAATGAGGATTCAGGGTTATACCTTGGAATAAATATGAAAATTTCTTTTAATCATTTCAAAAGTAGCAGGATCACACTAATTCATACTGATATGCAAACATTTCCAATTCATGTGGATTCATGTTTGTTTGAAGTATGGAGCCTAGGCCTAAAACTTATAGATATCCAAGAATTCGAGATATTGAGAGTAAAATAGTTAAAGAATAAGTGATGGGGGCTTCCAAATCACTTTGACATATCCATGGTATTCAAGATATCTGTGTTCAAGATACCGAAGTTCAACTGTATATTGGAAAAAAAAAAGCTTTTAAAAATCTTCTTCTCCAGAACAGGACAGGTATGTTAATTAAGGCTGCACCTAGGTATTCTGACTTTGAGAAAATTACGTCACAATAAGCAATATGATGTGAACTTTAGTGCAAGTGATTTGTTAATATTTGCATTTCAAGATTCAGTTGAATAGAAACATGCAGAAATAAATGAAAACAAAATGTTGTTAATTTTTTTTATATCTGTCAGGGGTTAAATACTTTAACTGGTGACGTCATTAACTGTTTATTATATGTTTTGCCGAGTGAAAATGTAACAAGAATTTTGTCAAGAAAGCATGTAAACAGATATGTTAAATGAGGGTTTAGAAGCAAATATCTTGAATATTGTGTGCGATTCATATGGAATTAAAGTGTGGTGATCTATTTTCATCAATGATTTCTTTTAATGAAGACAAGCAGCTGTTCACAAATTCCTGTCAGCCTTTTTCCTGTCATTCTTGACAAGTTCAACATATTTATACACTGGATATGTTGAAACATAATATTTGCCCAGTTCAAAAGCTTGCATTTTATAATACTTAGGAAGTGCTGCTAGAATCATGTGGTAAGCATGGGTCCACAAAAATTCTCGGGTTGTGTGTATAAAATGTAAAAATCCTGGTAAGGTTTCATGCAAAGAAGTAGGATTCTAGCAGCACTTTTTAGCTCACCTTGACGAAGTCGAGATGAGCTTATGCTATACCCCCGGCATCGGCGTTGGCGTCCCGGTTAAAGTTTTAGGAGCAAGTCCCATTCCCAAGTAACTATAAGCCCTATCTGGACCAAACTTGCATGGATGATGCATCTAGGGATGGACACTACCACACTTGCTTCGGATGCTGGATCTGACCTAGATTTTCCAAATGAGTGACCAGGTTAAAGTTTTTGGAGCAGGTCCATTTCCAAGTAACTATAAGCCCTACCTGGACCAAACTTGCATGGATGATGCATCTAGGGATGGACACTTCCACACTTGCTTCGGATGCTGGATCTGACCTAGATTTTCCAGATGAGTGACCAGGTTAATGTTTTTGGAGCAGGTCGGATCCATTCCCAAGTAACTATAAGCCCTACCTAGACCAAACTTGCATGGATGATGCATCTAGGGATGGACACTGCCACACTTGATTCGGATGCTGGATCTGACCTAGATTTTCCAGATGAGTGACCAGGTTGAAGTTTTTGGAGCAGGTCCATTCCCAAGTAACTATAAGCCCTACCTAGACCAAACTTGCATGGATGATGCATCTAGGGATGGACACTAACAAACCTGCTTTGGATGCTGGATCTGACCTAGATTTTCCAGATGAGTGACCAGGTTAAAGTTTTTGGAGCAGGTCCATTCCCAAGTAACTATAAGCCCTATCTGGACCAAACTTGCATGAATGATGCGTTTAGGGATGGACACTGCCACACTTGATTCGGATGCTGGATCTGACCTAGATTTTCCAGATGAGTGACCAGGTTAAAGTTTTTAGAGCAGGTCCATTCCCAAGTAACTATAAGCCCTACCTAGACCAAACTTGCATGGATGATGCATCTAGGGATGGACATTACCACACTTGATTCAGATGCTGGATCTGATTTAGATTTTCCACATATGAGACCAGATTTAGATTTTGGAGCAGTCTCATTCCCAAGTGACTATAAGCCCTACCTGGACCAAACTTTCATGGATGATGCATCTAGGGATGTACACTAACAAACCTGCTTCGGATGCTGGATCAGACCTAGATTTTCCACATGAGTGAATTTAGCAATATTTTAACTTAATTAGCATGGATGCTGTATCTAGGGATGAACACTTCCAGACTTTCTTTGGATTCTGAATCTGACTTACATTTTCTAGATGAGTGACCAGGATAATTTTTTTTTGGATTAGCTATATAAAACTATGGCCTGTTATGATTAAACTTGCATAGATGGTGTATTTAAGGAATAAACTTCCAGACTTGCTTTGGATGTTGGAACTGACCAAAATTTTCTTGATTAGTAAACAGTTTTTTGAGCAGGTCTATTTCCAAGTAACTATAAGTCCTACTTAAACCAAACTTGCATGGATATTGATCTTGGGATGTACCCTAACTAGAAAAAAAATATGATGTGAAATTTGCCTTACTTTTAGATAACATTCGTCGAGGTGAGCTTGGTAATCTTTGATTACCTATGTTTTATGGCTTGGATATGTTTTAAAGTACGGTAATTTTTCTTACCTGCAAAAATGACTTAACCCTGGGATAGTGTTGAACTGTTTGCTTTTTTATTAAGGCATATTTCTCTGTTAATAGCAGTCACATTATAAGATGCTGTCATAGTTGAGTGCTTCTTATCCCCTTAGACACTCTGACTTATATACAATAGATGATAATAGTTTATGTCTTAGGCCAAACAAAAAAATATGTGTGGTTCCGGTTACACCTCCAAAAAAATTAGGGTAGGTAGGTAGGGATTTTTTTTGTTTTTTTTTTTGTTTACAAAATGATTTTTCTAGATTTTTCTAAATAATACCTATCACTACTTTGCAAGTGGCTTTTAGATGTGGCATGATAATATACAAGTCAACATTGGTAGGGACACCCTAGTTATGAATATGAAACAAATATTTTTAAATCAAAAATAGTAAACACACTAATAATCTTATTAATTTCTTTTTTGTAAAAAAGAAGTTTGAGGTGAACATCCTTTTTTTAAATCCATGTTTATAAATGAAATTAATGACTTTTATCCAGAGTAATTTTTATTATATATAAAACTAGAAAACAGGCATAGAGTACTGCTAAGAGCTGTCAGAGGAAATATATTTAATATTGTGAAAATGTTAAATTCTTACAATGAAAAATTTTTGCCTCATTGAAGATATACTTCCAAGCTCATTTCTCAAATATATATTGGTACTATGTGAGTTGACTTTATTCAGGTAAAATCAGCTGTCTTGTTTTTCACTTTTCCTCATCAACTGTTTTTTGTTCTACTTTTGGTTTAACAGAAATGATCCTGATTTAATTTATTTCATAATTTACAAGTTAATCTATCTTACACATTGGGCTATTTCTTGCATAATCAATGCAATCAAATGATGTTTTCTCATGCCCTAACTCCCAAAGGCATATTACCTGGCCAGCTGTCTGTGAACGTATATTTATTTAATTTTGGCAAGCAAAAACAAAACAAAACAAAAAAACATGGTGCTGGAAAAAAGGAATGCTATGCTAACTTGCTTTAGATTTAACACTATCAATTGAACACTTGCACAAACTGACTAAGTGTTGAAACGATGTTTTGCATGGAGGCCGCCATTGCTGAAACAAAAACTAATACCGGAGCCGATGACAGAAAGCTGGGAAAATTCCGGAAAAAATGAAAATTGCCGGAAAAAGTTTAGGGTCGGGGGTATAAAATTATGATGGTCGGGTAACCGGAACCACACATATTTTTTTATTTGGTCTTATCATTAGCTTTGATAATTTATCAAAGTTACATTTTTCAGGAAAAAAGGGTAAATTTTACAAGAAATGATCTGGGTGCTGCCTTAACATACCTGCAAGTAGTATCACATTGGTCATATTGATATTCAGCTTTCCCATATAGTGTGGATTCAAGTTTGGTTAACTCATGACCCCTGGGACTATTTTACATAGGAATAAAGAGGGAACAAAATATTTTTAAAAACCTGTGAAAATCAAGTGTGCCATTTTGACTCAGATGAGCATTGTGGCCCATGGATCTCTTTGTTTTTAATTGATTGAAACTTAAGATAATTTATATTGCATAGAATGCTTGTTTCTTTGTAGTGGTTTTGAAATTCAGTGAACTGCTATTACTTAATATAGAATATTAATAATGATCAGAGTGTTGTGTCTACTGTGAATGAAATTACAATAATATAGACTGCTTGGAGTTACATATGTGAATGTATTGATCATGAATTTCTATGAATTTTGTTGTACCTGTCACTATATAAATTTTTTTTTTATTTCATTAAACTGGTACCTGCCATATATTTTGTTAATAGTATTCTGGCAACCACTATAAAAAATATGGAATTCATAAGGAAATTTTTTACATCTGTAATTCTTTTCTTTTTTAGCTCACCTGAGCTGAAAGTTCAAGTGAGCTTTTCTGTTCACCCATTGTCCATTGTCTGTCCGTCTGTCTGTCTGTAAACAATTTTTCAAAACGCTACTCCTCCTACAGTTTTTGCCTGATTTCAATATAATTTGGCACACAAGTAGACTACACAAAGATACATGATTCTGTGTATCGGTTTTTGATTTCGATGAACGGTGTTGCCATGGTTACTAAAAATAGAGATTTCTGAGAAATACTTTCAAAACGCTACTCCTCCTACAGTTTTTGTCTGATTTCAATATTACTTGGCACACAAGTAGACTACACTAAGATACATAATTCTCTTTATCGGTTTTTGATTTCGATGAACGGTGTTGCCATGGTTACTATAAATAGAGATCTTTGGGAAGTACTTTCAAAATGCTACTCCTCCTGCAGTTTTGGTCTGATTTCAGTATATCTTAGCACACAAGTAGAATACACAAAGGTCCATAATTCTGTCTATCTGTTTTTGATTTCTATGAATGGTGTTGCCATTGTTACTAAAAATAGAAATTTCCTTTAAATACTTTCAAAACACTACTTCTCCTACAGTTTTTTTTTATTTCAGTATAACTTGACACACAAGTAGACTACACAAAAATACATAATTCTGTATGTCGATTTTTGATTTCCATGAACGATGTTGCCATGGTTACTAAAAATAGAGATTTTTGGGAAGTACTTTCAAAACGCTACTCCTCCTACAGTTTTGGTCTAATTTCAGTATAACTTAGCACACGAGTAGACTACACAAGATACAAAATTGTCTATATTGTTTGTTTTTTTATTTTGTTGAATGATGTTGCCATGGTTACTAAAATAGAAATTTCTGTAAAATTCTTTTAAAAGGCTACTTCTCCTACAGTTTTAGTCTGATAGCAATAAATCTTAATGATACAAAAATCTCAATAAAACAAAAAAAAAAAAAAACAAAAGACTACACCATAGATCATTATTCTATGTATTGCTGTTGCAAAGTTTCAAGTCCAAGTGCTACTTTCATCTTCTATTTTTATAAGTACAAATCAGTAGGGCTACAGTCTCATCAGAGACTTCTGGTTATTTTCATAAACCAGCACTATGCACAGCTAATTGTGAGAATGGTGGAACCTGTATCAAACCCAATGTCTGCCAGTGTAAACCTGGATACAAAGGAGCCACTTGTCACATAGGTAAAATAGATTTTTCATATTTTTAATTTCTACTGGTCAGAGACCAGAAGCCTATGCGATAGTAAGGTGTCAAGCATCTGTCCTTCTGTGAGTCTGTCTGTCTGTAAATAAAATTTCAAAATACTCCTCTTCCTATGTATTTGGTCCAATTTCAATATAATTTGGTACACAAAAAGACTTGACTAAGATACATAATTCTTTCCTTTGTAGTAATTAGAAACCAGTAGAGCTACAGTCTCATCAGAGACTTCTGGTTTCTTTTTTTACCAGTATCATTTTGGCAAGTTCAAGGTCACATTTAGAAAAATTGATATTGGCATTTTCAGAAAAAAATTGTAAAGGGGTTATAATTTTGGAGCTTGTTCACAGTAATTGAATTATATAGGCATAGTTCAATTATAGTATACAGGCAGAATCCATAACAATTCTGCCATAACTGGAAGGTATTTTTGAATCCTTAATAAAAGTTTTGCAGATTTAGATTTTACTGACTTATACTTAAAAAAGTCACATAAGTATAAGCATCAGGGCGACTATACTTTATGATATTACAATTTTTCGTAGCATGTATTACCAGTACACAAAAAATATAAGTATGTGTATGTACATGTAATAACCTTTTTATCTTGAATTCAAATAAAATAAAGATATTGAAAATACTGATACATTGTTTTATTGACTTGGGAATAAAATGCTTTGTCATTGTTGAAATGTGGGTACATGCATATACACTGTACCAGTAAGTAATTAAACTCCATTTAAAAACAAGTAAATGTGCAGAAAGTGCAAAAGTCTGTGCATCACTTTCCATGGCCTGGAATTCTTCAAACGGGACAGAATAGGTTTGGTAGGACACCCTCATATTCTCAACTTTTTTCTTAGGTAGTTTCTTCTTGTGATTCACCTGTGAAATTATTATTTTAAAAATAAATATAACAAAATGTAGTAATTTAACTATGATCATTCAAATGTCAAGTAAACAGCTAAGCAAATAAGGAATAGATAATATAAAACTAAAAAAAAAAATATGAAAGTGAGAGAGGGCCTAAGGGTTTAATTATTTATTCATAATGGGAGTAAACAAGCTTGAAAGACACACAGTTCAATCTTAGAACATGTACCTGGTATGTCTTAAATTTTAAGTTCATATACAGTATGTAGGTGTCAACCTTTCATCAGCTACTTCTGTATATAATATTGAAGTGTTTTAATTTGTAAGACAGGGTGAATTAAAGTTATACATGTATTTATTTATGTGTATTTAACACATCACCATATATGTGATGAATGGTCCACAAACAAACTTATTTTGTATGATCTCATACTAACTACATGTGTCTTCCTTCTGTGGCCAAATACGTATAAAATTTGAAAGCTAAGACTATTACAAAGAAAACTAATATTGTTGACCGAGTGATATCCAATTTCCACATAAATGTTCAATGGCATCGATTTATAGTATTATAGTGGTTGGACCCTTACAACTATAGTTATCTTTCTGTAATGGACAATTCCTCTGTGTAACAATATTTTTTTTGAAATAATTGGTAAATCAAAGGTTAACCTTGGTGGACAGATGGAATTCATTAAGATATGATTTATATATTTTATTAATATTTAGTCATGCAATTTCATTAAACAAAAAGTAAGAATAAATACCTTTCTAAACTATCTATATATGTTGGCTTTCTATTCCCTTTGGAATACAGCAGGTCTAGAGCACAGTTGTAAGTTAGCTTAGAGTACATTGATCAATCTCAGCTTTACACTAGCTGGCATTATGACAAAGGAGGGGACACGTCAACTCAGATGTCTCAACCTGCAACACACAAAAATTATTTTGAAGTGACATGGCAGAGATTTTAAAAAAAACCCTCCTGTCATGGTTACTTTATGGAAGGTATATTAAATGAATTGTGCCACAGTCACTGAAACTGCTTTCTGTCAATATCAAACAGCTAATTCACCCCTTCTAATGTTATTGTGATTTAAATTCAAGACACGTGGTGTAGGTTGACCGATTCAAAGGTTTTTGGGTAGAACCGTTTTTATAAATAAAATTGGCAGAAAACAGGAAATTGCTATAGTCTGTTTCTTTTAAAAACGTGTCCTATGAAAAATGTGTTTCCAGACCTTACTGAGAGATGTTCTTGATTTTAAACAGAAAAGGGGGGGGGGTAATCTTCCCTTTTGTGATAATTTACGGCGAAAATTTGAGCTCAGTAGTAACAATTTTTCCAAAATCGCCCAATCCGCTGGTAGAAAAATAATGTGTAATATCTTCTACGACAAACCTTTGTTTACCTTATATGGCTATTGTTATAAATGCGCAGAGAGGATCTTACCACGAACAATTGACCAATCGTTGAATGAATAACAACGTTTACTGGACAACTACGTGTTTACATTTTACTTCGAACACGTGGTTCAGGTCAATCTACGATCGATACAAGCTTATCTTTTAAAAAGATTGGTGAGCTAGCGCTGTAGCATAATAATTAAAACACAGAAGAAGATATCTGAACCATTTGTTACATTTGCTGAATCGATTAATTATTAATTGGAAGGCAGATTGGTGCACTGGGGGTTGAGTTGGGGGGCGGGGGGTGTCACAATTCAGAATGGTGAATCTAAGAGTGTGCTTCACGTCGGCTATGGCATAACTTCTAACTATGCTTTAAGCATTCTGTATTTTACTGTAATTTCAATTTCGAAGTGAAAAATAAAAGGTCAGTAGAACCAATAAGCACCTTCGGGCCTTTCCGGCAAGCTCGGAAAACATATCCGAGGTTGCCGCTGTTTTCCGAGCTTGCCGAAAGATCCATGAAGGTAGATTTGAAAAGCTATGTATTCATTACAACTTTAGAAACAACAGTCTTGGTTTTATAAGACCCGAGTTACTGTTACTTTTTGTTCATTTACGTGCAGGTTAGACAACAAAACACGAAACTTCAGATCATATGTATTTTCAGATGATAAACACTAAATTGACAGGTCTTTCCGACATACTCTGAAAAAGATTTGTATTGTTGTTGTTTTTTTTCCGAGCTTCCGGAATTATCCACTAAGGTGTTTAAACTGTAAGGAAAGCTAGATGTCTAGAATCTTGGCATTATATGGTCAATTTTTTTCTTGTACTTTTATGTGTAGGTTAGACAATAAATTATAAAAAGAATTCATTCAGAATCCGGATCTAGACTGGTATTTAGTCAGCCCGGCTTCTATTTTTGTATGACAAAACGAAATTGTTATCGTATAATCTATCTACAGTAGTTTTCCCAGAATCCTCGACCGTGAAATCGAGCATGCGTATTTCAGAAATATAGACTAACGTAGTTGCTAGCGCTCGAGAGCGCTAGCAATAAAACGGAACTGCAAACGCCATTTAAAAAAACGAAACTGTTTTTTTTAAAAAATATTTAAATGATTAGAAACTATGAAAGATGTCACTGGTGTTTGCTATTTGTTGATACGTTGTTAACTAGAAATATTATATAATAATATGTGGTCTGTGTCACGTTCAGAACACCAGCACTTCAAGGTTAAGGAAAACGAGCAGCATCTCTTAGGCATTTAAACAATTAAACGGACAGTAAAGATTTTTTTTACATGACAATACCCATGGTCACATGTGTTTTTGGCCAGGGAACCCACCTGACAATTGTATTAGATAGAACAACAAAGGAATACAGACGCAATTAAATCGCCTTACAGTCTGACTTTGAGAAAAGCTAGAATTCCACGTTTATTTAACAAATGAATTGTTTGTAATTGTGAGCATGGGAATAATAGAATAAAAATGGACAGATTACTTTTCATCTACGAAATGCATGAAAAAAAAAGTTCATTGTGCCTTTCCGATCGCCTGTAGATTTGGGTTTTTCCCAAACGTAAAATTCCTGTAGTATTCGTAGTAGCCCACAATGCAATTCAACTCATTCAGCTGATTTTTTTTCAGTTTAAGCCATGTTGGTACCTCATTTGCTAATCTGACGCCAAAAAATAGTCCCAGTTTCCTTGCAAGTATTTTTGTTTTAAAATAAATTTTAATACATAAATGCAGAAAATAATTTCATTAGGAATACTTATTGAAGTTTGAATGAATTGAAGAGAGACTGGCGTACATTTCTACAGATATTATACAGTGGTGAAAACTGAAATGCAACATAACTTTTCTGTTTACCATGTCTCCACGTGGAAGTCACTTCCTAGCCACATTTCCGTGAATAATTTACCTTATCTCGTTGTAGTCTCGCTTAATCTCGCCAGAGCTACTGTCAGAGCTACTCTGAACTCCTCGAGTTTTATAATTTGCAGAACACCGAAAAATAAAAGGTTCCGAACACATTAGTAGGGGTGTAATTACTGGCATAAAATTTATTTACACCTTTTGCTATCAAATAAAAATGAAAAGTGATTTGGAATATTATGTACCCTAAATGACTGCACTGAACTGTAAACGGTGCTTAATTTCAGAAATATTTGATTTCAAAAATATAAAAAAAATTCTGAGGAATTGTCAGAGAATGTACATGTACCATGGTAGATTTTGTTGGGAAATGAAAACAAAGACCAAAGGGCAAGGATTTTATTTCACAAACTAGATGACATGTGGTAACGCCACAAATGCCCCCTCGGACAACCAAAATTTCATATTGTAAATTGCACATTTGTAGCCAAGATAATGTTTAGAAATTGTGAATTTTTTAATATTTTCCAAGTTCAAGGGGGGTAACTGTCAAAAATCATCGAACCATGACCAAATTCAAACTTGACTCAAACTCATATATCAAATTTGAGTTGAATGTGTACAACTGTTGCCGAGATAATGAACAGAAAGTCAATGATGATGGAATAACGGAATAGGGTAACACTATATGCCCAGGTAGGTATTTATAAAGTGTATCATATAATAGCAAAAGTTGTTAAAAATCCTAGTTTTATTAGATAGATTATTTTAAAAATCATTGATTGATTTTCCAAAAATCTTTAAGAATACATTTTTTCATGCAAATTTTATATCTTAGTCTTAGTTTCATTAGATAAAATATTTTTAAAATCATTAATTGATTTTTCCAAAGATCTTTAAAAATATCCTTGTTTATGCTAATTTTAATTAAACTTCATATCATCAATACAAACTTCCCCTGGTCTGGAGGGCTACAATGACCCAGACACATAGAGCAGTATCGTGGAAGCCTTTTTCTTACTTCTACAGCTTTTTGAGGAAGCGACGTTTTGTGTGAAAGTGCATTCTTGATGCGTTCATTATAAATTATAGGAAATTGTCAAGGTAGTTAAATTATTATATCCAAAAATGTCCCATTCAAATCCCTGTGAACCACAACTGTCTATAGTTAAGTGACAGTACTCATTTTGTTGGATCTTTCCGGCAAAAGAAAAATCTCTTCCTGTTTATTTATGTAGCAGTTCTTAAACTGTCAACACGGAAACTTTACATCATAATCATTGCACAATATCATATTAACATACAAGCAAAAGTAAACATGTTGACACTCATAAAAGTCTCTTTGCCAATTATGTGCATTCTGTACAATTTCAAGACGAAGACTGCGTCATTGGAGGGTATTCAAATTCTTGATACGACTGCAGTTTTTGAAAGATTGTTAAAACGAATGACTGAAATCGAGAGAGGATTAAATTTGCATCTAAATTACAACATTACAAAAATCTCGCCAAAGAAGAAAATGTTCGCACGTCGCGTGAGAAAACAGTCTATTGAACAAGAGGAGGATGGTACCCAGAAAACGGGTTTGTCTTCCGAAGTGCATGATCTGGTAAACAATTTCTTGCCTGATGGCAACTTTTCTGTGAAAAATTCCAGGGAGAGGACATGTCAAAAAACACCTAACAGGATCAGACAGAAGATTTCACCAAAAATCTCAGACCTCTCTACATTTAATGATAAAAATAATGGTGGTACAATGGGACCAAAACCAATCAGAACCCGGAACAGGAAGCAGAAACTTAAATATAAGAAAGGACGTACGATTCCGGTAAATCATAAGTACCCTGAGTCTGGGGATCACTATATCATGCCTCTTACATCAACTCAATGCTCCGTTGATTCTAAGTGTGGTTGTTGCAGGGAGAATCCCCCAGCATCTCCCAAATCTCCACAACGTCTGAACAAAGCAGAAATTGACGCTATTCAGAAACGGATAGATGATTTGACAGCCAGAGGATGTAAAGTGTTTCATTTTCAAGGTTCTATAGTTTACAGCTGTGAAAACAAGTGATCGATCATTTAACATACATAACATAGTAAATTTCAGTTGTTTAAATTATAAACTAATCATGTCAATAACAATTTTGTTTCTATCCTTTGTAAGAAGGAAGCAAATTTTCCAGATAAAGAATTTCGAAGAATTCTGTCATGTAGCATAAAATTAAATCTCTCTTAATAGAATTGAGGTTCATTAACTAGAGGTTTCAAGTGTTATTTGATTTTTATAACAACTTTCTTAAAGATATTTGAGATGTTGCTATGCTTCCGCTTATGTACTTTGTTACAATGTGAGTTGTTGTTTATATGTCTATAATTTGCATATAATGATAATCACCGACAGTTTGCACCTTAAAGTGTTGCAACTTGTATTGATTGATTGTATGTTGTTTTACGTCCCGTTCGAGAATTTCTCATATAGAGCTGTGACCATATACCGGTGAAGGGCTTCAAATTTAGACATTTACTCGGCACTCAGGGCCATTAAGATTGAGAGATCTTTATCGTGCCAACGCCTGCCGTGACACGGGGCCTCGGTTTCTAAGGTCTCATCCGAAGGACCAGCAACTTTCACTTCAAAGTGCCGAGCGCTTGGCGAAGGAACAGTTGCTACCTATTTTTTATCGACTTAGGTCAGTCACGGCCGCGGCTCGAACCCCCGACCTCCCGATCACGAAGCGAGCGCTGTACCGAATGAGCTACCGTGACGGTTTGCAACATATGAAATGAAAGATGTCAGACTAACCTCTTGATGGTAGAATCGCTATATGAGGTTAAACTTTGTGAAATTGAAATTCTTTACTCACACTTACTGCGATGCGAAAAATACAGTATAGGTTATAGTTTGGTTGTATGGTTTAATATCACACACAGCCTAAAGTCAAAATTTTCGATGAATTTTTGTTAAAAAGGTTTTTTTTTTTTTTTTTTATCAAAACACCATTAAAGAACCAGGTGTTTTTTTTTATGTAATTACATTACGTGCTATACTTCTGAATTGGTTATGACAAACATTAAGATAAGTACAGAGTTCCACCAAAAATATGTTTCTACCCTGGACTTGTGGACGTACCGTTCTCAAGATAAGGAAAAGCGAAATGCAAATGTGAAACACATTTCAGGTACATTTTCTTTATTATTATCACCACAGGGGCTTGCTCCCGGCGTGTAATAATATTTATTTAAAAAAAATCATAGGTTAATACTAAAACTAAAACTACACAGGGGCTTGCTCCCGGCGTGTAATAATATTTATTTAAAAAAAAATCATAGGTTAATACTAAAACTACACAAGGGAGGACGCCATTTTGGACCCCTTCCTCGCTTCAACCTCTGTTTTCGTTATATTTTCCCGTATTTTACTGACTCACCGCCTCGGATCTATCAAGTAATGATTCTTCTAGGACATAATGCTTAAATTTTCCCCTTGGAGCCTCTACAATACACATTTCAGACACAGGGGCTTGCTCCCGGCGTGTAATAATATTTATTTTAAAAAAATCATAGGTTAATACTATGATTTTTTAAAAATAAATAATTATTACACGCCGGGAGCAAGCCCCTGTGATTATCACCATTTATATACATCTATATAATCTTACCTTGTAGACTGTGAAGAGTTATTTCAAGGAGAAAATACCTCTGTGTATTTTGAAATGATTTTCCCCATACTTGTATTTTAAAACATTCTATCAATGAATTAAACATACCATTTGATATAAAAGTTTACATAAATTCTTCAAATCGTTTCTATCTAGCTGTTTCTTGTCATATGTAAACTCTTATACAGTGTATTTCATGTGTTTCAAAATACGTTTTCTAGGATAAGTGCATTAAAGGCAGGGGAAAAAAAAAACGTAGGAAAATATAGAGGAAGATATGGTGTAGGGGTTATTTAAGTTAATTTTGTCCATATCCTTTGGTGATAACGATTTTCTATAGTAGGGATGCTAAATGCAAGATACTCTTCATAATTATTCCTTGAATTTGAATTCAGAAATTCTTGACATCAGTTTTCCATCGAACAGTATAAATAATACATACGTTTTAGTATGTTTCTTCACTATTTTCTAAGTAATTTTATTTTCCTACATCTATTTTTACTGCTTCTTCTTCTGCAGTAATGCGAAATGAATGTTTGGCAACTGTCTCTCTTTTTTACATGTTACATAATTTTATCTAATATCGTGCTTGATTACTTCCAAACAAGATTAAGATTCACAAACCTACTCTGTAATAATCAAAGAAGATCACAAGAAAACACATCTGTTTTTTCCCCTGACTGACGTCACGTTACAAAAGTATTCTATATTCATTATTTTTCTTCTGGAGAATGATTGACTTGTTTGGACAGAATCGTTTTATTGTACCGTTCTCCTAAGAAGTTACAAATTCCCGCTAATGAAAATTTCACTTATCAAGGTGAATCCAAGTTTGAAAGTGAATTTCCTTTTAATTTTATTTTATTGCAAAAAATCCGGATTATGTTTGAAAATTCAAGTACAATGAAACGATGCATATTCGGAATTGGTTTCTTCGAAATCAAACAAGGCCAAACTTTTAAGGAGGAAACAAGAGCAAACTGATTTAGCCGACCCAGAGGAGTAGTCGTTTGATGCTTGGCAGTGTTTACATCGTGAGATGAACACATCGTGATGTCTGACAAAGTCCTTCAGTGACTATGTCTGAATTAAAAAAAATGTTTCAAAATTTAAAACAGAATCATAAAAGTGATAGCTCAGACTGCACATGGTGTTCAAAAGAAGGTCAATTGAGGACAAAACAAACAAACAAACAAAAAAACAGAACAAAATTAACAAGATATGTTTGTGAACCACCGATCCTCCCATTGCAGCTCATGACCAGGTTAAAGTTTTTTAAAAGTGTTTCAAACTTCAAGGTCATGAAAAAATATGTTGATACCCACAGAAAGATCTGTCACAAGGTATACATATGTGAAATATCAAAGCCGTAGCACCAACCGTTCAGAATTTTTGCCAAGGTTAAATTAGAGTTTTTCAAAAGTGTGTCACCGTCAAAGGTCAAAGCCATGAGTTAAAAAATGTTGATAACAAAATAAAGGTCTTGTCACAAAAAATACACAATTAAAATATGAAAGCCCTAGCACCATTCAAAACTTGTATCCAAAGTTAAGTTTTTCAGAAGTAGATGAAACTCCGAGGACAAGGTCATAAAGCCAAAAGTGTTCTTACCCAAAGAAAAAGAAAGATCTTGTTACAAGAAATAAACATGTGAAATATAAAAGCCCTAGCACCAACTATTCGAAAGATATGACCAAGTTAAAGTTTTTTTTTTCAAAAGTAGTCAAACCCCAAGGTCAGTGTCAAGAGGTCAAAAATGTTTGTACCCAAAGAAAAGTCTTATGTGAAATATCAGAGTCCTGGCACCTACCTTTCAAAAGTTATGGCCAAGGTTCAAGTTTTTGACAAACACACAGAAGGACAGACCAAAAACAATTTGCCCCCAAATCTCCGATTACGGGGACATAAAAATACTTGTGTAGGCTTTGAATGTCGACAGCAGACTTACTTTTTGTTTACATCTTGTTTAGGTACATTTATTCACTTGAATTTTTCTGCTTCTACACGTCGATAATTTTAAATTGTAAGCAAAAGTACATGCCTTTATATAAAAAAAAATCTTGGTGAGTATCAATTTAAAGCTTTATCCACATGTGGGTTTTGCTTTTGTTTTGATTTCAACTTGGATAATTGCGTGTGTACAATATTTTTTTTTTTATCTTGTAGTGCAATATACCACCAAGTTATTTCAAGCAACTCGTCAATAGTGAAAATCCCAGATATCATTTAGATACTGAATTAAAGGGAATTAAGTCAGAATGTATACAATGTGAACATTTTAAATTTTGCAGTTATATCTATGATCGACAGAGAATGCCAAATGGAATACTAGTTACTTGAAAACAATATATATAAGATCGAGGCAATTTGTAATGATGCGCATATAAAAGTAAAAATAAGTCTATGTTGAAATGAATTTTTGATAAACACGTAATTTATCTATTAAGCCATCAAAACATCTACGTGTGATATACTCAAATGTTGGAATATCAATAAATAATCAGATGAAAGTGATTCTAAAGTTTTAGAAAAGGATGTTTGTTTCCCTGGGATTTAAAATTTCTCGCTCGTATATCGAAGAGTACATGTATGGTTTAGCTATGTGTTCCATTTATAACTTTGACATTTTGAACGTAAAATTCTAGTCAGATGTCGAAATGAATAGGCCATTCTGACCTTCGTTTGATTCACCTTTGTATCTCGATCTAGCTGTCTTAGTATTTCGAAATTTGTTTAGCTGTTTAAGAATAACAAAAATGATGCATTGATAATTTAATAGGGCGTTCACATAACAGGAAAACAGTGTGCTCCATTGCCTCCTTTAATAATACAATGTAGACATAAACCTATGATATAATAAATAATTTCTTTGATTATATGAATGGACGGATATACATGTACATAAAAAAAAAAGTTCAGTATAAAATCGTGTAAAGCACATAATACATAAACGTTGATATGAAAAAAAAAATGTTCAAACAAAGAAAACAATGTTTGGAAAATAGATATTGGAGAACATGCAATGTTATAGACGGAATTTACAATTTACATTTTTTTTAAATCTCAGTGACATTCAACCGCTAAAGCTTTAATACCTTTTTATTAATGAATTTCTGAAATGGAGAACGACGCTAAATGATTCTGAAATAATGCAAACTTTAAAAAAAAAATCAAACAAATCTAACATTGTTTTCTTTCAAATATAAAATACATAAAACTATGCTTATATTGAAACAGAAAACTTTTTATCACAGCTTCGCTTGATTAGAGCCTCTTTAAAATTGATAAAAACTCAATAAAAAAAGGACACACAAAAATGTACTAGAACTGAAAACCCAGAATATAATATACAATCAAAAGTCCCCGATTTTACAAATTTTCATATTATAATAAAAATTCGTAACAGAGACTATATATACACGTACTTTAACATATGTACTTTGGAACATACCAATTTTATATATATACCTCTCATTCTACATACAACAGTGAATTAATCTTGCATTCAAAAGTGAAAGAATACCTAATTCAATAAGAAAAATATGTACAATATGACAAATCTCATTAAAAATCAGATCTTTGATCTAAAAAACCATATCAATTTCTGGAGCGGATCAAAGACGTCCGTTTTTAATGAGGTGGAAAACCCAAGTCACTCCACTGTGAAATTTATAAATTATTGTGTATATACAAGCAATTAATTATTCATCTATGTATCTAAAATAAGAATATAGCATTAATTGTTACTGTATTCCAAATGCCCCCCCTGTCACCAAACATTTCCATACATATACAGGTCTCAATTTAATGATAATCTTCCTTAAACCAAAAACCGAAACCTTCACATCAAACGTCAATAAGGAAGATGCCTTTTTGTCAGTAAAATTTAAACTTTCTAAAATATATATTAGATCTATATACATATGTAGTAAAAGTGCATTGCATACTAATCTTTGCAGGTTCATGAATAAAACATTGGAATAATGACTTTCTGTAGGAATATTTCTACACACAGAGTTGAGCTTTAAGTATATCAGATCTACACTGTTCCTGTGTAAAAGTTAATATCGTTTCATTATTAAAATTCCCTATTAAAGTTTGAAATTTCCCTCTGCAGAGTTCTTCCTAATCGTCACTTCCGTTATCCCTCGATCCCTGTCGCATACGGTGCACCAACCTTGTAATCTTTCTGTAAATTAAAATGTACATATCTTTTAACTCAAAGTAACAGTTTCAACACTTGTTTTTACACGATTTCAATTTCTTCTGATGTCACCAATATGCCATCGCCAAAAAATCATGTTTGTCGCACGAAGTGTAACTATCAAAAGTGAAAGAAACTTCAACACAGACTTAATCCAATTCTCTGTATTCAGTATTTAAGGGTTTCTTGGTGCTGTCTCTCACATACATGTAAACGTGCAATAGGTTCTAACCCCAACCTCTTTTTATATTGAACCACTCTATAAATAATGTTTATAGTCAATAACGCCTCATTATATGATATACCTGTTCAATATAGCTGCATTTCTATGTATCAACAATCATCAATCACTTTGAAATGTTATTAACATTTTAAAGAAGAATATTTATCACACTTCCAACTTTTTTCCAGAAAATTTATACGATTTACATGTAAAATTACTTAAGTACTATCGTTTAACTTCATTTTTATGGTAAATGATCATTATGAATTATCAATCCTAGCAGTTCTGAAAATTATATTCATATTCGCTGGAATAGTTTAAGAGATCAACGTATTGCCGTTCACCAAAAATAAGCACCCTTCACCTCAATACTAAGGAGTTATGACTATACCTACATGTAGATTGGGAGTCTAATGCGCTGTATGGGGCATCTGATGAAACGTGCATAGAAATATTACAAGTTAATTAGGCGTCACATGCTTTTTCATAATGAAACATGCACTATATTTTTTACTGCAGAGGTTATGATTAGAGATCATTGTCTAATCTATCACATCACCAATTATGTTTATCAATGAATGAGAAAAAAAAAATAGAATTTTAAGCAATGCATATGCACTATGGGTTATGATATACCGGTACATGTATTTTATGTCATTTGAATATGTAGTGCGGAGTATTAATTGTTTTGTTAGTTTCTATCTCAAAATGTAATAATCTGGATACAAATATACATTTGTAATTAAAAAAAAAACGGTTTAATTTTTAATTCAAAACAAAATTCCTTGACCTCCACCAAAATAATCTGCTTTGTCAGTATTGCAAAAGATGAAGGTCACGTGACAAATACGAAACTGTGGCTGGCACCGTCATGGGAAACTCACCTGAGGATAATCCTCTCGATAATCGAACATATTGGCATGACTACTTGTGACGGTACTCTTTATAAATTTCTTAGGCCTGGCACCCGGGGATAAACGTCCCTCCTGAATATCTCTGGCCGAGAGCATGGGGTTCTGTAAAAATGTACCCTACATCTTCAAGAAAAGGCTAAGGTATGACCTTACTTTGCTCACATGGAGGAACATTTATCAACTCCTAATCTCTCTTTTTTGTATTAATCTTTTATTTAAATTTTCTCTACTAAATTAGTTCAAGAGAAACTGTTAATTGATAAAAATTACAAATATTTTTCTATCTATATTACACATCATGATTAAAAATTAAAAACAATTATAATTTATAGCTTTCTAAAATTAGAAAAGAACACAATAAAAAGATCATGACTGTTTAGTATAAAACAACAAGTGTTACGTCAAGGATGATTACTGTAATACACTCTATATTGCATACTAGTTTGTAAAATATGTGATATGGAGAGTTATATACAAAAAATGTTAAACTTGATTATAACAATGAAATATTGATATGAAATCATTGGTTTTGGTATAATGTAGGTAAATAAAGAATGGGTTTAGATTTGTTGTATATGTGCAGTGGTTCGATAAATAATGTTGCACACGTTTGTCAGAAAGAAAAAAAAATTGTTTGAATAATGTGAAGAACATTCAAGCTGCAAAACTTGCAAGCAAAGATGGAAAAACTGAATGCTGCAAAGAAACTGTGAACTAGTCTTACAATGTTCTGATGAAGATAAATAGGTGTTTTTATTAGAAAAAAATTAGTTGTTTTTCAGAAATGAAACACACGAGTCAAGGTAGGAAAAACTACATGTATAAGATATATTACAGGTAGCAAGAATACAGAGATGGCTATAAATAGAATGGGGTTCTACTACACAGCTAACCTGTCGGGGGGATCTTGCCGATATATACTCATCGTCATCTTTTGAAAAGAACTAGAAACAAACATCCAATATGCATAAGTCACAACTCATTCATGTTATAGTCTATGAACTTTTCATTTCAAAACTATCGTCAGATTTCTTTATGTAAAATATTTTCAAAACTAAAAAAGCATTAAAATTTTTTTAAAAAAATCCTAAAGTCTTGTTAATAAAATTTTCTGCAGTAATATATTTACATGAATTGAGCTCCAAAAATATGTAACTTTATTCAGTTAAAGGGTAACTTCATGCAATACACGTTACATATTGTTTGGCTACTAGTGTGTGAAATGCTGCAAGAACACGCACCTTATTTGGTTCAACTTCTGACCAATCGTGTTTCCTGACATATTCCTCGGTGGCTTTCTGTTAAAATCACAGAAGTGCAACCATTTTAAATACAATTGCCCGTGTAAGATTGTTCTGCTTCACAATTCACAATAGTTTTTATATAATGGGAAACATCTTGGCATATATATACCCCCCAAAAATACTTATGTCCATAAAGGTAATTTTGATAAATTTCTTTATAACTTTCCCATTATATACTGACACCAACACAAAACATACATCATCTTGTAGAACATTAATCTATAGATAGCAATAATTTTCTCAAAGAACCTTTACTAACAATCTCCCTCCATGTTTTGTAAGATAATCTCTATTAAATTAGCTTTCAAAAATAAGGCATGAAAAATTAAAAAAAAAAATTAAAATTAAATCAAGATGCGTTGTTTTTATTCGTTTCTGAAAGCAAAATATTAAAGCAATGCTCAAGCAATTACACACCAAATACATTAAGACACAATACTAACATGTGCAGAATACACTAACAAAAACAACAAATAATTTTTTATATATGTTTTGCTGTAAAGTTGTTTGCATATTGTTTATGTAGAGTTCATAGAAAGATCGACAGAAAGAGAGAGATAGATCAAGACGAAGGCTCCGGTAAAGACGTGGGCTTCAGAACAGTTCTTACATCTTTAGTGGGGTGGTGGATGATCTCGTCCAGATTCATCTTCCTCATGGTGTACCCTTTTGGTGCCCCACCCCCAGGTCTACCCCAGAGGCTGTCCATGGTGTCATAATGCTGAAAAGAATTTATTTGAAATCACTTGTCATTTAATTACCTCATGATACAGGTACCTCATATTAGGAAATTACATAACATGAATTTTTTTTCACACACTTTCATGTTTGTCTTTTACTTTTACTTATTCAAAATTGGGAATAGAATTAATTTTTACATCGTTAGTTTGTCAGTGCAACACTGTACTGTAATGTACGTTATAACTTTTCCTACAACCACTCAAAGATAAATTGTATCGAAAAAAAAAAATTGAAAGTAGGTTATCAGGGTTCTGAAATCAAAACGTTTTATTATTGATTTTTTCTTCGAAAGCTTGACCAATTAAGTAGATAAGAATAAAAATGAGACACGCCCAATGTAAGAAGAACTTTCTTTGAGCTCAAACAAACATCCTTAATAGTCCTTACCCTCTGCCCTTCCTGATAATCCTTCATTTTACCCAGAGCATTTCTGCGGTATCTTTCCTCTGTCATATTATCCAAGAAATTATGGTACTGCCTCTGTTCTGAGATATTTCTTGGCTGGCTTCCCATTTTCTGTTTTGATTAATTTATTAATTAATTATTATTAATTAACATTAGAAAATCATCTTGTTAAACCAAAAAGGTGAGTTTTTGGTAGGTGGATTTTTTTTTACAGTGAAACTTGTGTAACTCGGATGTTGTGTATTCCAAAATCTTGCTTAATACGATGTAAACTGTAAAATCAATTGTTTAAGATATTGTCTTGTTCGGAATATTGTCTGATTCGGTCAATATCTATGGAACCAGTGGTGTCTGGATTAAACAAGTTTTACTGTATATTCATTGTATTGTAATGTTCTAAATTTTGAATTGGGAGTAAATATATAATTTATAACATGACAACTAATTGTCATGTTGTAAATTTTACATTTACTCTAAATTTTGTATATACTCCCACCTGGTAAATTCAAAATTTAGAACAATCAATCTATGATGAACTCTTTAATTTTTATAAGCCATTGATTGTTAGTGATAAACTTTGACATGGTCATCAATGTATTAAATCCACAAAAAGTTTCTGTTTTGATATTGTTGTTATTGCTTAAATAAATGATTGTTTACCTCAAACATTTAACATAAAAGCAGTATTAATATAAATATTTTTTTCCCTCCAAGTACAAGTTGAGACTTCTAAGTACTAGTAAAACAAGTGAAGAAAACGACAAAAAATGTGTTTCAGCAAAAAGAAAATAAGTGTTCTACAATCTAGTTTCATAAGTTCTTTATCTTTCTCATTAGAAAGTCCACATTAGTACGACCCTTAATAGTAAATATTTCATAACTGGTCAAAACTGCCAGAAAAGGGTTGAAAGCAACATTTCAAAGCATAAGTGGAATCACATCTATTTTAAATCTCCTTAGTGAGTGAAGAGAAATGTGATTTGGAAGAGTACAGAAAAGAGACCTCAGCACTTACTACCCATTATACAAGCGTTTCGAGAGACATACATGCATGTCTCTGAAGAGAGAAGTAATGGAAAATGTCCTCACACTAGAAAGTGCAGATCAAGAGAGATGTTCACAAAATTGTCAGTTATGAATTACATTGAAATTCAATTATATCATTTTTGAAAATTATTTTTCTACGGATTTTTTCCGTTTTTCTGATCATGACAAGGAGCTCACGGCCGGTGTAACCGGTCTACAGGGGATGCTTACTCCTACATGGGACGTAATCCCACCTCTGATGTTTTGAGAGGTCTGTGTTTGTTCTGCTCCAAATTTGTATTGTTTCAGTGGACTTTTGAGCTTAATTACTGTTCGTTATCTTCATATTTCATCTGAAAATTTTTTCAATATCCCCTCATTCTTTATATGTTTCGCATATAGTTTATTGTCCTTCCAAGGGAAAATAAAAATTGTTTAAAAAGCAAGAGTTTCTGCTACAGAATGCAGGATATTAAGTAATATCTAGAGTTCACTAAACTGTTAGTCATAATTGCATAGCACTATATATCATTTTGAAAATGATTTTTTTTTAAAAAAAATGCCCCAACCCCCCTTCCTCACTTATAGCACACATGTATTAGTGTCCAGCCAAAGAAAACTATTAAGTTGTTTCAAAGACAGGAGTTTCTGCTATAGAGTGCAAGGTAAGTGTTACCTAGAAGGAAAACCACACTCTTATAGTATACCTGCAGGGACACATCAGAATTGCCCAGGTGATGATTTTGCAAGGCCCCAGTTATGGGGTCCCTTCTGGGTTTACCAGTTAATTTATCATCAATAATAACTGCCAATTCACCATGCTGTAATATAATATCATATTTTCTGTTACTTTTGATTTTGGTTCCTAATTACCTGTAATGACACGTCAGAGTTACCAAGATGGTGGTTCTCTAACATTCCGGTGACTTTGTTACGTCTTGGTTTGCCTACAACTTTATCATCAATTAAAACAGCCAATTCTCCGATCTGTAAGAGATATATACATTAAAAAATTAAAAAGTCGTCATGTCTTGTTTTACTATTTCCTTTTGTTGATGAAATAAGTGACCTTTTTCTCCTGGTTGGATCTGTCTTGGTTTTCTAAGAAATTATGTGATTAGTCATCGCAAAGCAACAATATTAAAGACAGTATCGCAAGTCAGATATAAACTACAGCAATTTCAAACTTATCATCAGATTAACTTGAACTCTTACCGGCTTTCTTTTTTCCTCCATTTCCATTTTCTTCTTGTATTGCTGGTTCTCCATCTGTTGACCTAAAATACAGAGAGAAAAAAATGATAATAAAATGACTGATAATCTTTTCTCGCACCGATTTCCTTCTTGGCAACCCTTCACCTTCATAACCGGCGAATTTGGCAACAGTTATTTGCGCAACCAAAGTCAGAGCCACCGGATATGCAAGATGTAATGGACAACACTCTTAAATAAAAGGACTTTCGAATTGTAAGTGAATATTGCACTTTCAAAAAGAAAACATTAAAAAAAACAAAACAAACAACAACAACAGAGCAGAAAAATCTACACGATAGTTAATTAACACAATACCTAAATGTAAGTATCTTTTCTTTACCTAATTCTGCATAGTAGATTTTGGCTTTGATTGCATTCTGTCTTCTCTCGTAATCAGAGAGCTGAAAAGGAAAAAAAAAGCCAGAAATTATTTTTCATTTACAATCTCTCCAGATAAAAAAACAATATTTCAATGTTTTCTTGATTTCATACTCTATGCAATTCACCATACCATAAAAATCTATATATTTACTTGATATACACAGAATATAACGAGCAATACTCCATTGTTATTTAAATGCAAAATGCTACAAATTTTCTGTAAATGAAAATAAAGAACTCCTTGCTAATGCTACTAGTATTCAAAATGCACCATCCAATTACCCATGCAATATAATACAATACGTCACATGCATGAGCATCTAGATACATAGCAACTGTTTCTATCAGATTTGTTAATCGACTGTATAAGACAGTACAAACAGCATCACAGGCCCATGCAATAATGTGAAAGATATTTAAACTTAACAAGAAACTGAAAACTTTCTAGCCGTTGCAGCAATTAGTATGGAATAGTTGTCGAAGGAATTTGCAGCAACTTCAGACTTTAGCCACGTAATCGCGTGAAACCTAGAAAAAGCGTGTTGTAATTTTTTTTCGGTGGAAAATATCTTAATACTTAATCTGAGCCAGGCATTATTCACTGTAAGAAAATGCAAAAAACTGCAGGATGTAAAATTTTCTTAAATCGGACGATCAATTGAAAATAACACACAACTCTGTCATGTACAAGCCCACACTCCTTACTCTACATCTGAGTATCTGGACAATTTTGACGAATATTAGTTTTCATACATGATCAGTTTTGCTCTACCAAGAACTCAGAATTTTTTCGACCCGGTATAAGTAAAATTCGTATATTTGGTGGTGATCTCATTGCCATTATAATAATGCATACATTTCTACTAGTCTACTGAGTATATATAATTTTCAACAAAGCAATGTCCTTGAACCCGAACTCTAGACCAAAAGACCAAGGGTTAATATTAATCGAGGGTTTTTTTTTTCAATATCGTATTTTATTTAACATATCTGCTAAATGTTTAGGGGTAAAAAAGATTTTTTTAAGATTTGATACCTTTACAATTTAGATTACAATCAAATTAGCTCCACTTTCGGGCCTAACGCTCTGGACCCAGGGACTATATTTTTCATAGTTTAAAGAGCTCATTATTTATTGCAAAGATGAACAGAATATAGCCATGTTAAAATACAGCCTCAACTACAGTATATAATCGTTAAACATATTGTACACTTTGAGATTTTATTAATGGCTATAATATATACTTTAGCACTGATAATTTAATTTACTATGAAATGTACTTTGGTACTTCGTTGTTCAAAGAAACTTTGATTTACCAGAGGTAAACCAGTAAATTTTGATTTATTATAGCAATTGCTATGAGACTTCGTTGAATCATATATAGATATTCTTTTTTATTTTTATTTAGGATCGAGAGACAAATGTGAGACGGAAACGGATAGCAATAGGGGTCCTTAATTTGTGGTAGTAGCCTAGGAAACAGACAACAAAAACAGCAACTCCACAAAACACGTCTGAGAGGAAGTGAAAGGAAAAGATCAGGAAATAGGTAACAATATAATCATTCATGTGAACACGAGAAAACATAATTATAACACAACATTTAAAGTCATTCATTTTCACGAAATTTATAGAGTTCACAGAGTGCAAAGAGGAAGTTCAAAGCATACATGTAATTTACTAGATAGTAAATGACGAAGTCGTTGTTATTTTTTTTTCCAAACTAGAAACATCATTAGTTTGTCAAGATGATAGCATAGTAAATATTAAAAATAGCACAAAAGATAATTATCTTGCAGTTTTTAAATAAATGTACGATATGGTGTCACTAATTGATGAAGACCTTGAGAATGACACCCTTGGTGCATTGTATGCCCAGCGGTATACTTACGTTGTTATGCAGATAATGTCGCTGCAAAAAGCATGTGATTTAAGGTTGTTTAAATCGTTTTCTTAAAACGCATAACTTCATAGGTGCAAGCAATTTAGTAGAAGCAAAGTAACACTGAATAAACATTTTCCCCACTGTAACAAACAAAATCTGGTAAAACTACCTATCATTCCCAAAAAATTCAATTACAATATCCCACAAAACTTCCAATAAAATGTTCAATTTTAAGAGTCAGTGAAAGTGCGACAAAATGGAATAAAAGCTGTATTTATTATACATACATCTGAGTGGCCGTGTAATACTGTGCTGATTTTCCCACTGTAATCCTTAACTGGTGCCCCTCCCCCGGATCTTCCGAAAGGATGATAGATAGGATGTAGCTCCATGTTTGGCTTTTTGGGTTTTCCAATTCTGCCAAGATTGTCATACTCTTCAAACGGATTGGTAGCACTACGATTTGTTTCGGGGGCTGTAAGAGGAGATAGATTCAAGGTTACCAATAATCTCAAAAGAAATAAAACCAAGAAAAACACATTCTCCACAATTTTTTTTTTACATAATTTTGTAAAAATATCGTATCATTCATAGATTTCATTTATCATATCCAAGTCTGGTAAAATACATTAAATAAACAAAATAAAGATCGAAATTTGAAGAACAAGATGATTCACTAATATTGTTTCAGAGTAAATTTTCCGAGCAAAAATGTTGGTTTAAAAATAAGCAAGTGAGTAACACAGCATTTTGGTTAGGTCAATGTATCCTCATTCAATATTAAGTTATCAAACAAAAGTGATTGGATTCCGAAATTTTATAAGGTAGGGAAAGAATTATATACAACATGCAAAGCATAAAAAAAGAAAAGAAAAAAAAAAAAGAAAAAACACTAAAATATAAGTGACAAGGATAATTTAAAATCAAAATATAAGCATTGTATTTATATCAATTAAGTGATTTTTAAAAATTGTATATATGTTTATAAACTGAAAAGAAGCTGTGATCAAATAAGGCATATTAAAACATCATGAATAAAACAAAACATTGGTTTCGATATACATGTTAACAAAATATTATTGAAATTATCTAAATTCTTATGACCACTTTGAAATAATGTTTTTCGTCGATTTTGAGTTTCTTAAAATTTTATATGATGTATTTTTTTTTTCAATTAATAATATGTACTAACTACTAAAGCCGGTTACATGCATGTAATTTCTATGTTTAAAAAAAAAGACTTAGGGATACAAGTAAGACTTTTAAATTTAATTTCGTTCTCATAAGAGTACATACAGACTGAGGTAAAAATTTTGTATCAGAATTCTGTTTTTAATATTTTTCACACACCACCACAACAGATGAATATATAAAAGTTGGGAGTAACTGTTTGGATATTAAACTTTCTTTCCAATGATTACAAAAATCCATTCATTGCCTTAGACTATATTTTTGAATTACAATGGTCTTGTTTCCCTTTTGAAGTTGCTTGTTTTGAAAAGCCTGTATCAAAATTATGAATGTCAAACTAGAAACACCACTTGTAAGAAGCATTATTATTATTTGACAATCATACATCTCACTACCTCTATAGCTATCTGTTTAAAATAAAAAGAAAAAAATCAAAATAGTTCTTAAAGAAAGGAGTAAAACAAAATTATACTTTAATAATATTTTTTTTTTATTGTAAAAACTTTTTGATATACTTCTCATGTTTTCTTTAATTTACTGGTTTGGAAATTGTCAAATTGACACGTATTCTTTGTTGTTTAAAGAAAGGGGTAAAACAAAATTATACTCTACTGATTATCTTTTTTTTTATTTTCAAAACTTTCTGATATGTACATCTCATGTTTTCTTTAATTTACTGGTTTGGAAATTGACAAATTGTCAGGTATTCCTTTTTTTCATAACCCCCTTTCCCTGTCATTTCAAAAATGATATTTTTATGTTCAGAAATTTATAAGTGGAATTCTCTGATTTTAGGAAATGGTTATTATACATGTATTTGCTGTGAAGGTGGTGTTTATGGCAAAACAATATTAACCTGTGCGGGGATTACCTCCTCTTTCATAGGAATCGCTGTATCCATTCTGAAAAATACAAAATATAAAATTACAAATCACTTCTGGACAGAAAAACAACTCAAAAAATTATTTCAAATAAAAAATAATGAACGATATGGTATTTTATAACTATGTTTTTTGTTTATATTAAATATTTTTGAATTAAAAATTATATTAACAAGTATGATGAAAGAGTAGGAAAAAACATACAATATCACGTCAAAATAAGCGTAAATCATCAAAATTCATCTCAAAACAGATCAAGAATGGGATAAGATAATTTCAAAGGAAATATTGGCAAATGTAAATGCAAATAGAGATAGACGGGTGTCTTTATTTACAAAGACTTTATACAAGTCATGTAATTGCATATATTTTAATCTTAAAAAAATTAAATATTTATTAAGATTTGTATACTTTTTTCCCAACCAGAACATAAGTAAAAAGTTAGATTTTAACTCAAGGATTATGAAATAAAAGGACACTTCTCAAAAAGGTTAAAGGAAGCCCAATATAATTTTGTTTTAATAAAAACTGAAAAATGGTTTTCAATATACACATATTAAGTTTCAGTCTCAGTTCACACGCTACCTTTTTCCTCCTGAAGGATTTTCTGATGTTTATCAGATATCCGTCAGAATTTCTAAGGGGGTTCCCAGTTCCTTTTCCCCAAGGATCAAAGTCATCAAACTGTTAAATCAGAGAGGGTTAGGCAAGAAAGACAGAAAAGAAAGTCACAGAGTTAAACAGAATCAGGAAAGTGAAGGTAGAATTAAAGGAAAGAATCAAAGAAGTGAAAGAAAGAGAGAGAGAGACTTTTCACCAGTAATGTAGACATATCCCACAGATAGTAAGATATATATATATAATGTATACATGTATTGTCTATTATTAATTACCTGTCTTCTCTCCTGGAAGGAATCTACAAACAGACAAAATCAGAATTGTCAGTAATTATTTATTGAAATTTTACATTACTCAATTAAAGGTATATTTTTTTTCGTTTATACTGAAGAAATTTTATCATTATGCATTTATCGCCGAAGTATGGCTGAAATATTGCCGACTCGGCGTTAAACAATAACAATCAATCAATCGTTATGCATTTTCAATCAAATTACCGTAAAATGGCAAGATAAGGTAAGGCCCATTTGACAAGAAGGACAAAGATAAACTTATGATGGTTTGTTTCATAAACCATAAATGATGTTCAACATGAGCAAAAACTTAGACTCATTTTGAAACAGGCTTAAATTACAGTTGATGCTTAAAAAGAATTTCATTGTTCTGAGAAACAACACAAAAGGGACCAAAAAGGATCTTTGACTTACTTTGTTTTTTAAATTTGAAATTGCATAAAATCTTTTGATTTTAAATAATAGATAATATAATTATTTATAGTTTAAGTTACAATTCCATTGTTGAGTACACCATACCTCTAGCCTGAACTTTCATAAGTTCAACCGTGTCCAGAGTATTATAAATTTTCCTTTTCAATCGCAAGTGATTTCCTGCATTACGGGAAGGAAAATAAGGAAGAAAGACGATAGAATTAGTGCAAGAAAGTGAATTGAGAAGAAAAAGCAATGCACAGTTGATGATGTTGAAAATGCTAGCAATGATAAGATGAAGATGATTGATAAAACTAGCAGAGTTAACATACATAAACTAAAATAATGGTTTTATATTGTAATTGTAACATAACACAAAGGAAATGTAATGTACAGTCAAACTTCGTTATCTCGAACTTGATGGGACCGAGATAAAACTTCGAGATATCCGAGAATTCGAGATATTGAGGGTAAAATACTTAAAAGAATAGATAAGTAGTTGGGACTTCCAAATCACTTCGACATATCCATGGTATTCGATATATCAGTGTTCGAGACACCGAAATTCAACTGTATACAGAATAGAAAAACAGAATAAAGATTCTTAGGGAGCTGTAAGATTGGGGAGACAAAAAAGTAAAATGAAGAAACAGAAACAAAAATAGCTTAAGAAGTCTAAAAATAACCAACTCTACGATAGAAAAGAAGCCAGGTGGCATAACTAGAATTTACCTTTATTCAAGAGAAAAATACATCAAGATGTATCAACATTAAAAGAACAGGATGACTAAGATTTAAAAAAAGAACAAGAAAAAGAAGAGTGTACTTGCCAGACTTTGACAAATTAGGAGCACCACCTCCAGGTTTTCCATACGGAAAAGTAGCACACTGAAACAACATGCATTGTATAGAGAAATGTAGCAGAGAAAATTGCGACCAAAAAAAAAGCGACAAAAAGAGAAGAGAGAAAAGAATCTTCCTGACTGCAAAAGTATATCCACCAGACCTATCGAGACACTAAAAATCAAGGAGCATGAAATAACATGTTTTGCGTGATCTGCTACAAGAAGCGCGCTGGAGCAAAAATAGTGCCAATGAAGTAAAGAAGGAGAAGTCTAGATGCTAAGGAGGAATGAGAAAAAATGTGGTGGTTAGTAAATCTAGGAAGCTTATCACACTGACTGCAGCCATGCAGCATAATTTACCTGGTCTTCTGGGTGTGACAGCTGCAGCTTTCAACTGTAAAGATCAGTGTAATGTGTTAAAATATAAAATTTTATTAAATTCTAGAATCTAATGTGCAACGCATACTGGTCCAGGTCTTTGATTCATTTGTCAGTATTTTTTTTTTAAAAACTTAAACAAAGAATTGCCCGGATTGAAATAGTTGCCATAGTGATTTACTCACGTGATCTAGTTCCTCTTTGAGATGCTGTAATTTCTCCTCCTGGTTATGAAGCATGTCCTGCTTTTGTTGGAGCTCTGCAAAAAAAAGGGTATTTCTTTCCAATTCACAGTCACTTTTTTCTACATTTACTATTAGTCCTTCCTTTTGCCAATTGTCTCCAGATTATTTATTTTCTAACTAATCGCTCATTTTTTTTTTTTTTTAAATCTAATGCAATCCACCGACAGCAATGCATTTTATTTTTGGCTTTTTATGCTTTCGTTGTACATAACATGAAGTGAAATGTAGGTTTTGTAAACTTTTTTGTCGTTTTCTGATTCCATTCGTTTTATGTTATGTAAAATTTTTTATTCTATTCTAAATATCGTTTCAGATCTTCAAATTAAATCATATGAAAACCACTCTTTCAGTACAAGTTATTATTTTTTTAATTTATGGAAATGGTTTAAAAAGCTCATTGCCGTGTTTATGATCGTAAACAATATTCTTTTCCTTGACATAAAAATATTCATGGCTCTTACAATCAATGTGAGTAGCAGCAGATTTTTTTTTTTTTTTTTTTTTGCAGATTACTTGGTTATTTAAAATGCATCATGCTACATGCTTTAGCATGTGCATAGAAAAATATTAATGTACAATGCAACTGCATTTTATGTTTCGGAAACCTTATTATTGCTGTAATGAAATTCAAAATTATCTAAAATGAAAAATGATCTATAAAGCTTGCATGCAAAGAGTCTTGTAAAAAAGCTGGTTTGTTGGTTTTATATGCTCATGCAGTGAACATTTTGTGAAAACGCTGTCAAACGACACAGAAAAAAAATACAAATTTACTCAGATCCATGGCGTATTCCTGTTTTGCTTGCGGATCCCTTTCATATCGCAAGACATTTTCTACTTCCGGTCTGCTTTGATCCTGAAAGCGGATTAGTTTATCAGAGTTCATATGAGTTTTCACGTGATTTCCGGAATCCGTTCTCAGAGGAGCACCTCCCCCAGGGGTTCCGAGACGATCAACTATAGATCCAGTAATCTGAGTTAGGTAGAAAGAAAGAAGAAAGATAGACAAGAGAAGTAAAAGTGAAAGAAAGAAGTGTGAAAGAATGAAGCATTTTTTTAATCAAATCTGAAAAATGACGAAAAGGCAAACTGTAGATTTCAAAAAGAATAAAATTAACAAATATAAAAAGATTTTTCCCAACATTTACGGGTAAAACTTTTACTAATCGATTTGTCGTTATAGACAAGCTTACGCCTGTTGGGGGAGTTGGAGCCATCCCTCCCTGCTCATTTTGACCGTTTCTCGGTGCGGAGGGAGAATTATTCTTTGGAGACGCATCGGCCGCTGGATTTGAAACAAACCATTTTTAACGTACACTTAATTATTATAATGCCAAAAGGTAGAAGATATTAGCGTAATATTTAATTTCAAGGAGAGATTGTAACAGATAAATTGCTCTTACCTGGGTCTCGTTTCATTTGTTCGAGCCTTGTGCGATCTCTTGGTCCCGATGGATCATATCCAGGTCTGTCCTGAAATTTATGAACCAATTCATGCATCACAGTGGCTTTACCGGGATGAACTCGGAGATGCAATGGATTGTCGTCATAAGCGAATAGTTGCCAGTTTTCTAAGAATTTGTTGTGATTGTTGGCATCATCGCTCTGATCACTCTATCCAGAAGGAAGGAAGGAAGGAAGAGAGAAGAGGAGAAATAAGATACAGATAATGAAATGAAAGAGAGATCGCTAAGATAGATGAAATACTGGGAAAAAAAAGGAAAGAGAAGCAGGAAGTGAAAGTAAAGACATCAAATTAATAATAAAAAAAAATTAAAGACAAGAGAATCAGAGCGGAGTGATTCTATTCGCTGATGACAACACGATCTTCGTCAATTAATGAATAAAACATTAAAAATCAATATTCGTTGCTTTTTCATTTAAAATAACGATTTTTTAAAAGAACTTTATATTTTATTTTTCATATAGGAAAAAAAATATATGAGAATAACTAAATTATTATGACTATAAAAGTATTGAAAGTTACTATTGTGTATTTAAAATAAATCAAAATATTCAAATGTGTTAGTAAAAAGTGGAATATGTTAGTTTTCGTTTTACAAAGGTTAAAAATAAACAATTGAAAACACACTACCATGGTGATTTCCTTTTTTTTATTTTGGGTTATAAAAGGTTAACCTTGTTTTGAAAACACCATTATTCACAAACAAAATCACAGCACTTGTACGTATTATAAACACTTTGAAATTACTTTTACGTATGGCCTTATGTCAATCATTTTTTCGTTTTCTGTTGGCTGCAAAACAACATGTAAACAAACTTTATTTTTTAGTAACTGCCCAACATAAGTACCCTTTAATCGTTTTACAATCTCAGCTATTTCACAATTACGTACCATGACACATGTTAGTAGAAAAGCGCTATACGAGGCTTTATGTATTGCATAACTATTTCATAGTAGTTTAAAAGACCGTCCACATCCTTTTTTTTTAAAGTACAAGAACTTCGACATGTTGTTCTTAAAATTATGACGTATTAATTAGAAACAAGTAATATTTCCAATATTGTTTTTGTAATTTTTTAATCCAAAAATCTACACATATGAGTCACCTTATAAAAAGTAAAAACAATCTTTATAAAATGTTTTCAGATTCAGTTATAAAAAAGGACAAACGTTCAACTTTCCTTGTTTGACTGCCTATTACGATAAACAATCAAATTAAGGTTAAGGTCAAAGTCTCTACGTGAGATGAATGAACAGAAAAAATTATGATGGACCCGAGATTGAACAACAATACAAGACATGGACTTGACTTCGCATCGTCCCCGACAGAGAATTAGATGATTACAGCTTATGAATTCCAATGCAACCTGTACAATAGATACTGATTATCTCAAATCTGATTGAGGGCTGACAAATTTTAATCAATTTATTTGATTGGCAGAATTCAGACAAGGTTAAATCAGGATTGAAACCCTGCGCTGATATTTAAATGTATCCATTGTACAGGTCTTATAATTGCATGAAAATAACTACTTTTTATGACTAAAAGCATGCTGTTAGTCGGCAAAGAAATTATCCTGTCACCGAGTTTTAGAATTCCATTTTTACAATGATACCTGGGATATTTCTTTCCTAAAATCAATCCTTTCTAATTCAGGGAAGGCAGGTTCCTGTTCAGAGAATAAAACATGTGATGCCAAAAAAGATTCCGATCTTGGAAACCAAAAATTATGAGAACTATTTTTCTAAGAAAGGCCTCTATTTACTTTTTTTATAATAAAGAGAAAGAAAAAATAAATTTGCCAACGTATTTTGTTGTTGTTTTTAAAAAGTACCTTTATTCGACTAGAAGTCGAAGCACAACTGTACGGCATAACATTTTTATTTCTTCTCGTAAGTTTATTCCAAGTTGTATGTGGATGGTAATATAACATGTATAAACCTCTTCGCGAAAGCCCCTCCTCCCTTTTTTGTGTCCCATGTTCATTAAAATCACAGTGATATTCTATAGATGCTTACCCATTTATCTTTATATACATGTTTCTCTGGAGGTTCAAGTTGGTGTTCGGTAAATTTCTGCTTTCGGGCGTCGGCCTGTAATTGTGTGCACAGATTGAATGTACATGCAAAGAATATGCTCAGCAAAATCCTGCATGTATATTTATGATTACCATTGCATTTATATGTCATAATAAAGGATTTTGGGACGGATGGATGGAATTGGGTCATATCAGTTGGGACAATGTGTTAATAAGGCGTGCAGATTATAATTTGTGATTAAAGACAAGCTTGCTTTGGTGTGTAATTTAACTATTGAACTATAAAAAGACTATCCAATCACTTGAAATTCTTAATATATCTGTATGAAATAAAATATTTTTTTTTCAAAAATAAAATTATATGTTCAACTAAAACATGGAATACTTTAACAAAAGCTACGCTAGACCTACACGTCATATCCGGTTGACTTACCATAGGCGCTCCTCCCCCTGGCCGACCCCACGGATTGTAATTTTTTAACATTTCCATATCCTAAAATTTATTATCGAGAGCACGTTAGGACGCATAAGCATTAATTAAGTGAAATAAGAGCAATTGTTCTAATGTTGATTAAAATAGCGCTTCTCATGCAAATCCTTAATAGCCATGGTTTCTTGTTGGTTAGCCCATGCTTTTATTGAATGCTTAAGTTAATAGGGCCCCATGTTTTTTCTCTCTGTTAAACTACTATTATGATAGCATTAACCACATTAGAGAAGTTCTATATGAAATAGCATCAATGCTGAATGCCATTAAATTCCATGCAATACTGATGAAATCCCTGGCCTCATATATATTCATATTTATCAACTACAGAAACAATGAGAAAAGAGACAACTTTCTTGTAAACTAAATCACTATGAAAAGTTATTATAACTAAGGATAAATATCTAAATAAAAGAAAAGAGTTATAAAAGTGGAGTCAGAAACTAATCTTCCCTTGGTTATGTAATGCATTTGTTTGCAGAAAACGACATACACACTTTACTTCAAAATCTAATTCAAAAGCAAATGGTGTAAAATATTTTGCGAGTAACACTTGTATTGCCGTCATCAAACGTCCATATTTCATCTACTGAGATCTACTGAGTAAAAGACATCCGTGTTCCATAGATTTTATATACACTGTACATATACGCAAAAATGGACAATATTTAAAAAAAAAACTGACACCTTCAGAAAAACAACAGAAATAGATCTGGGAAACTCACAAACAGCAGTATATACTAGTATAGTTGTATAATATATAGAGATAGATTTAGAATATAAATAACCTGTCGTTTTTGTTCCCGGATCTCGTCGAATTGCTAAAAACATCAACAACAACAAAAAATCTTGACATCAGTTGCAGTATACAATATGCTTTACTTCATTTTCCTGTCGCCGACATCTCTTTCTTATCAGAATAAAATTCTACTTACCCTTTTCCTTTCATCTTCTCTATCCCTCATTCTAATCTGTTCCTGATATTTGATTCTCTGTCGATCCTGCTCGGTATCAATCATTTCTCTTCGTAATCTCTCCCGTTCGTTCTCGCTATGGAAAGAGAATATACTATGACGTCACAAAGACAAACCTACATTACGCATACTTCATTGTGACGTCACAATAACTTACTATTTACGATAGCAGTAAGTTATAACGTCAAAATAAGAGCATATTCTTTACATATTTAAAATACACAACAACTTTTAATGCAGCACGTTATCTCTCTTTTATTTCATTTTATTCTCATACCATTCAGGATTTGCAATTATATAAAGTTATAAAAGTCAAAAAGATCAATTTTCTGTGTAATTTGAAGCAACTTACTCTCTGTTGTCAAAGCCTAATCCTCTCATTGGCCCAGGACGCACCTGCTGGGATTCTTCAATTCGTGGGTCACCTGACCCGTACTGTAGACTTCTGTGACCCTCGTCTAATTTTGGTCTTGCTATAAAAGAATCAAATATACTTTATATCATTGCTTAGGGAAACCTTGCAAAGAATTGCAGTTAAATCGAAAATTTTCCCCCTGATTTTTCCGTAGAAGTAGGATATTTTTATACAAAGGCATAATGATAAAAATGAATTAATACGCTTTTGTAAAATGAAATGGGTATTTTAGAGAAATCGTGTAACCACACTTGAACGAAGTCTTCAGAAATTGATAGAAAAGTGCTATTTATCAATGTGCATTATTAATAACAAACGGAACATAGGATTTTCTGCAATTAATCATTCTCTTGCAAGCTTTAAATGAAAGTTATGAATATCAGCACGTCAAGCTACTGATGCAAGAAAGTGAAAATAAGGAAATTCAAGGAAGCACACTCAATCGCTTTATTCAAAAGAAGAATGTTTTATTGTAGGATTGGTTTTGTACACATATTTGCCACTCTTTCGAGAAAAAAAATTATTATATGAATTTTTTTTAATACATATACATACGGTATATTTAATGAGAAAATCATACACAAACAGAAAAAAAAATCATGCAATATAGACTAAAAATAGTCAAGACAAGGTGGAACGTGACTATTTATAAAAAGAGCAAATCAAGACAAAAAAAGTTAAAAATCAGGATAAGTTTCATGTTATGCAGACTAGCACACAGGTCTAAGTAGCTAGCTTCTATTACCATCACCCGGGTGGTAGGTAACGATTTCAGAGGCTTGAGGTTTTGGTGCGACCGGCTCTGTCTTTCTTGCTGAAAGAGTAAGCGTGTTTTCACTTGAATTTTCCTTAGATTCACTACAAGTCAATTTATAACACTCTCAAACACTGCTAGAGGTCGAGTAGCGACTCCTCATCATGAAAAAAGTAGTCAAGTACGAAAGGTGAGATGTTTTTTCATGCAATTGCGGGTAACTAGGAATATTAAAGATAGCATTCACTTTGGATAAGTATGTAAGATTTGACTCTTCTCTTTAATCTTTTTGGAACAAAGACCTATTAAAAAAGCCAGTCGTGTAAATCTGTTTTACACGATCGAGTGTCTCCTTTTAGAGTCGGGATTTGAATTAGTGATTAAACATTCTTCAAAAGGAATAAAAACTTAAATCCATGCACAGGAATTCCAAATGTATTTGTTACATAGATAAAAAGGAATAGAATTGTATGAAGGCGCAAAGAAAGAAAAGAGTCATAAAAGGGTTTATGGAAGTTATGGCGAAATGTTCTCGTGACCATGGTAATGATGCTATACCATTTTCCATTTGGGAATTTGCCCTAGGAGGCGGAGTGGCACGTGGCCTGGCCGATGGGCGGTCGGTTTTGGCTCGTACTAAACCTTGTTCTATTAAAGTCATATTGGAGTTTTAGAATAAGTTTGTAGATATATTGGTGAACAATCTCGCTTGGCTTAACAAACTGCTTTATTAGTAATTCTTCAATTTATAATTATTTAACACAAATAACACTCAATGCGTCTCAGTTTTAGTCTTGATTTGTTTGATGTCTTGATTGTCAAATTTCGACGGTACTTTCCTTTCTTTAAAAATATCGTATCGATAGACTACTAGAATGAACACATCTACATGTATAGGTATAAAATTACAACATACTAATATTATATGTTATACTCTATCTATGGTCTAAAAAAACATTTACTAAGCAACGTAAAGTTGTTTCGGGGAAAGCATAAAAACGTTATATGCATCACAATGCTAAATCTGTTAATATTTTACCTATTCTACTTACATATAATTAGTACACTTACAATACATTCTCAGTTTAATTACTCACCGTAGTAATCTACATTATAGCACAAATCAATTTAAAATATCAATAACCAATAAAAGCACTGAAATCTATCGATAAATATAAGAATCATTGACTTCAGTTTATCTTACTAAAATGAATGTCAGAGAACACATGTATGAAAATTACCTGAATCAAAATGCTGTGATTTTCCAAAATATCTGTTTACGTCAGATCCATTCATAGCAGCTGAATTTCTCTTATATTGTGGATTGTGGGGGTTGAAAAAACTCTCGGATGGATAACCTTTGAACCGGAAGTCCTGATACAAGGGGTTATCTTCCGAGGTATTATTGGTGGTTTTCAAATCACGTGGTCTCGCTGGAATAAAAAGTTGAAAAGAAGCAATGAAACAAACCAGTAAAAATAAATTACGACATTTATATTAAACAGTTTGTTCTTATTGACGATTTCCAAATTAATTGTGATTGGAAAAAAAAATCTCAAAACCGGATAGATTTAATTGGGATTATTAGATGAATAAGTAAATAGCCGTTGCATGAGACCTGCAACCTTTTATTACAAGCAATCAAGACTTTATTTCAATCTTGAAATAAAATGGTTTTAACAGATAAGAAAGTGGCGCTTTCTCATTCATCATTTATTTAGAGAGATTTTTGAAACTTTTCTTGTACTGCAGTATATCATGTTAAAGTAATTAAGCATATATGAAATACAACACTAATCCTTTTTTCTAAGTTATTTGAACATTCAGATAAAAAGGTAAAGCAATCTTGGATATAGTCATTATGTCGACAAGATACTACAAAGACTTCAACAAAATGATACTGAACTCTTCGCATACTTTAGTCAGAGATAAAAAGACTGTGTACCTTATACTTAACGTTAGGGACATTAGATTCACAGAATTAGATCTCCAGCTAAAAAGATAGTATAAGTGTCGACAGAGTCCCAAGCTGTCAAGACAACACTTGTAAACATCTTGGGGAATTATTATGGGACATTCAGGTATAACCCTTAAAATGTAGGATACACAGTACAGTCAAACTCGCTTATAAGGAACTGTCTCGTATATTAGGAAATTTCGGTTAATAGGAAGTTATGTAATTTCCCAATTTCTCATATCATAGCGCTTCAAAATGACTTCCTTACTAGCAGGTTTTACTGTAATATGTCGTTCTATTATTGTCTCTATTCATTACAAGTTTTTTTCATCGACTTCAACAATTTTTTTTTTTTAGAGATGACGTACAATTGGACAACAATTGCACCATTTTAAAAATACATGTAAGTTGAAGAGAGAATTAATGGAGGATATATCAAACTACAATATTAACATGCAATAAGGGTACAAATAAAATTATCAATCATGAACAATTATTCCACATTCCTTATTCAGAAACCCAGTTAATTATGCTGTTGAAGCATTATATGTGTGCGTTGTTGATCTCTAGTGATAAGAAACAGACGGGGTTTAAAAAAACATTGACACCAATTCAAATTATTGTCAATGAAGACGCGACCATAAATACGCTACAGAGTTTATCTTGTAATGACGTTAAAAGAATAGGTCTGGGAATAGAGGTACATGTACTAGATCTGCACAGCCGTTTATAGTATAACTTAGCTTCATTATACGGGGGGGAGGGGGGTATATCAGTTGAAAACGTTTTCACTTAAATATTTAGGTTCTCCTGGAAGTTGATTTTGCATTTGATGAACCGTTCAGAAAATGTGTCTGATATAAAGAACCCACGAGAGGCAGAATGGAAACAGGTTTCTAAGTAAAGATTTTTAAGACATCTGTGTTAACAGATTTTAAAACTATATTGAACTTCATTGAATTTAAACAAACACACACCTGGGGTGGAGGTTCTTTTACTATTCTTATTACGTAGAAATTTTTAATTCTTTTAAGCATGTGTATTTTCAACAACAATTATTGAGTACGCCTTGCGCTTTGACACAAAATTAAGACATAAAACATTTCGAGCCTCATACAACAGCAATCTTGATATAAGTGTTACAACCTTATCAAAGGTGTCAATGTTTAATCTAGAATCGATCTGCAGATCGATTGAAGTACTCGGTAAGATTTTTTTTTCTCTCTCTTAAACGTGCAGTGGTCTAGAGGGAACCTACTACAATGCAAAGTGTCCTTGATATTTCAATGTGCTCCCCCACAAGGGTTTTAATAAAAAAAAAATCATACAGCTAAAAAATTTAATTGGATGGTCAAAAACCATTATCTCCCGGCTATCTAAGGTTAAAATAAATATGCGGACAGTTGTCGTCTAGACGCGAGATTCACGTTGTCACTTTAACAAAGTTTGATACGAAACAAGTTAAACAAAAATTGGATTCTACCTTGGAGGAACATTCAAATTAAATATTTGAATTTAATTCTGTAACCGAATATACAAGCAAACACAGGGTAAATTGGATTGAAATTGAAACAAAATGTTCTTATTTATTTACAATTTAAACAAAGGTCGTCTTCAAATCAAAGAGTTTTCATTAGTTTGCTATGGTTACCTCACAAAGTGTTGTGCTATATATACTACGTGCTGCTATCCAAAATTTGCTACTGCAAAAATTAAAACTATATAAGAAAAATCTCATTTGAATTTGAAAATATTGACTTTTTACAGTGTGTTTACATGCAAATATGAATACAATGAAAGGAAACATTTCAATGCTACATATGTAACCATGCAACCAAACACCTACCCTCTTAGATGTATGAATATTTCATGATATGCAACAAATATGAGAGCATATAAAATCAATTCTGAGAGCTGCGAAATAAGCTAAAACTAAACAAATCCTCCCACTACAGTGCAAAAAAACTCAAAGAAGAATGCATTGGCGACCATATTACCCAGAATCCCATCCATGTGGTGGCGTTCAAGCCGCCGCAGCTCCACCAAGCGGTAAACTAGTGAATCTTCACGCACCTGTGGCGTTCAAATTGTGAAAATGTGCAAAAATCAAAACATCACACATAAAAAAAGAAGCAAAGATCAGTGGCTCTGGACAATTTTTTTTTCTTATGGGACCATTACAGTCACGGAATGTGTTAACTGAATTATCTCAAACTAGGATATTTCTATTATTTAGGGCCACTTTTCAACAATAAATTGACCAAAAATCAATGTATTGCAGTGGAAAAATTAGAGCTAAATAGATTTACTTGTCAATAAGCAAAGATTTTTTCCTCAAGGCAGACAAATCTGCCTATCCTTTATTCATAACATTATAATGGAGATCAATTTAGCTGATTCAATAGAAATAGGTCATCATATACTTTAAATATTTCATTTCCGTTTTTAAAATTTTTCTTTTGTGTCAAGGTGTTAAAAAAGTTGTTGTTCAAATGAACTTTAACTGAATTTAAAACCGTTGTAAAGACAGACGAAAAAGCAATTGATTAAGAAAAAAGGTTTTTTTTTCTTCGTATAGTTGACCTAGTAAATTTGGTATCCATGCTCTTTACATCATTCTTTCGAATCCCCATAAAATACATTACCCCAGCATGGCAAAAAATGTGTCCTGTGTAGAATTATTGATAATAATCGATATATCTTTTATATATTGTCAGATGTAATGAAAACTTGCGACCATACAAAAAAATCTATACCTACCAGTTTGATAGTATTAACTAAATCCAACGCTTCAATAAAACATGTGTACACTGAACTACAAAATCCTCAGACTGAACCACTAAAAGTGCATAAATGGGAAAAATCAATCCCTCCCACAAAAGTGGTACTTCATAAATACAAGTCCTTAGTAATATAGTGGTCTTCCTTAGTACTAATTTTGTATAGTTACCTCAATTGTTTACACTCCAGGGGTGTAAAACTTTTGTATACAACAATTTACCTGTAGAGTTGTGGGGCATGTTTGCACCTGTCTGAAATCTACACTTTAAATATCATGTGTTAACTCTCAATAACATTATCAATACCCCTTAATTAGTCGTTTGATATGTCATCAGCACACGCTGAAAAACAAAATACTCATATTATTAATTAATAAAAGGTTGACATCTAGACTTTATTGGGTACTTGAGTGTTGTTTTAGAAATGGGGACTGAAAAAATCAGGTACCTGGATACATTATTGATTTTTAAAGTCTCGCACCTCTGTTGATGATACAATCGTTGCTTTGAGGCATTGAGGAAATATTCAATCTTAGAACTTGTCATTATAACTTTTTTTTTTAATTAAATCTGTGTAAAATGAATGATGAAAATAAACATTGAGAAATTAAAACTAATCTGTCAAGAATTTTGTTTACAAATATTTGTACTTTAATTATTGTCTATTGAATAAGCATGGATATTTTTGTTTATCAACCTATAATATGTTTTATTAATTTCATTTATGAAAAAATAAATTATAGAGTCATAGTTATGGTTAATAGTTATAGAGTCATAGTGTGACTCTGTGGAGAGAACGATTATAGGCATTATGCCTACTGTTCAATTTCCATTTCTTTGTAATGAATAAATATATTTTAAACTAAACTAGTCACAGTGTCATGCTTATCAAGAGACAAGTAGAGGTTTAAAACAGAACGTTTCAACACGATAAAAACAATCATAGTTAGGAAAATAATGGGGAAAAAAGTAAGAGTTGGTAACTTAAATCTATTGTTTAAGGGCGGATAATCTGTAAATTATTAAAATGTCTGGCAATTTGACATGAACGAGAAATCCTGTCAACAGTTTTGGATTATGTAATCAGTATACTAATACTTTAATCCTAGTATAAATTGGCAATCCGTGTTGAAAAGGGGGAGAACTCTTAATAATCTCCAATATAAGTGGGGTTGTTAGTGCTACCTAGCTACTATTAGGAAAAAGAATATTTATAAAATTCAGTCATTTCTTCTTCTTTTTTTTTTTGTACACGTAATTTAGAGAGAAAGAGAGAGAGAGAGAGAGAGAGAGAGAGAGACTATAGCTACATCAAAGTTCATAAAGAAATTTTCATTTTGATTACAATGGGGTAAATCCTTAATATTTGCCCCATAAAAAATATTCCAGATTATGACAATACTCGAGAGAAAATTATATACATTAAATAATCTTTTGCCTTGATTTTTGATATCAAAAATCAAAAAAATGACCCAAAGTTAATTCATGTACGGATTTCTTTTTCAATCTCAGCTAAGGAGTGTCCAAAGCAGGATTCAAACATTTTCATTTTAAAATTGATTTTTAGCCATATTAATCATCCTGTGTCATTTACACATTCCTCCAAAATGGAACACAAAATATGCACTGGATTACATGCCCTTAAAGAAAAAAATAACAGGATAACCTCTGTCCTTGAACCTTGATATCACATTTC